GTCATTTCTAATCTAAGAAACATAAAATATAGGTAGAAAAGAAATATAGAAAATGCCTGGTTTAAAACTTTAAAAAGAAAATTTCACTGTGTGACCATTATGTTGAGTAGTATTTTCAACATAATAAAAATAATGGCAAATGTTGTTTTAAAATTCACTGATAGTTAACATCATTCTCATTTTGCACATTGTATTTTATTCTTTACCTTGACTGTCAGGAAGCCTGGGATTCAATTTTTAGTTCCAGCCTAGTCACAGTCCCAACTCTGGCTCCTGGTAAACTATCTTGTCTGTTCTTCTAATAATTTATGTTCTTTATTATATTGCCTTGTATATGTGTATATAAAATTTTAAAATAGGATTGCTCAAATTCTTTTTTGAAAAGAGTAGAACAATAAACTAAATATTTGTTCTTGTGAGTACTTAATTTACTTTTATTTTATGTTATCCTAATATACTTCTCGAATTCAAAATTTTGAGATTTTATACCAAAAAACAATTTCAGAGGTAATAACAATGGGAAAATAATAACCAGCTAACATCATGATGACAATATCAAATCCACACATATCAATACTAACCTTGAATGTAAATGGGCTAAATGCCCCAATTAAAAGACACAGAATGGCAAGCTGGATAAAGAACCAAGACCTATTGCTACATTGTTTTCAAGAGACCCATCTCATGTGCAGCAACAGCCATAGGCTCAAAATAAAGGAATGGAGAAAAATACACCAAGCAATTAGAAAACAGCAAAAAGCAGTGGCTCCAATCCTAGTTCCAGACAAAACAGACGTTAAACCAACAATTATTGGGAAAAAAAAAAAAAGACAGAGGATTACATAATGATAAAAGGTTCAATTCAACAAGACCTAACTATCCTAAATATTTCCCCCAACACAGGAGCACCCAGATTCATAAAGCATGTTATTAGAGCCCTTCAAAGAGACCTAGACTCCCATGTAATAATAATGTGGAGGTACCTGTGCAATATTGCCAGTGTGGTGTTAAAGTCACTTCACACAGCTCATTGAGATAGAACATTAACAAAGATATTCAGAACTTGAACTCAGCACTGGATGAAATGGACCTTGTAGAAATCTACAGAACTCTCCATCCAAAAATCAACAGAATATACACTCTTCTTATTGCCACATAAGATGTACTCTAAAAATCAATCACATTTTCAGAAGCAAAACATTCCTCAGCAAATGCAAAAGAACTGAAATTATAAGAAAAAAATCTCTCAGACCACAGCACAATCAAATTAGAAATCAAGACTAAGAAATGCACTCAAAACCATATAATTACATGGAAATTGAATAACCTGCCCTGGAATGACATTTGAGTACAGAATGAAGATGCAATATGCTAGAATCTCTGGAACACAGCTAAGGAGAGTGTTAAGAGGGAAATTGATAGCACTAAATACCCACATCAAGAAGTTAGAAATATCTCAAGTTAATAAAAGATTTCAAGTTAATAACCTAACATCACAACTAAAAGAACTGGAGAACCATCAGCAATAAATCTTCAAGCTAGCAGAAGACAAGAGATAATCAAAATCAGGCCTGAACTGAAAGAGTCTGAGACATGAAAGATAATTCAAAAGATCCACAAATTCTGGAGCAACTTTTTTTTTTTAATTAATAAGACAGACCACTAGCTACACTAATAAAAAAGAAGACAGAGAAGATTCAAATAACCACATTCAGAAACTACAGGGGGATATCACCACTGATCCACAGAAATACAATCAACTGTCAGAGAATATTATGAACACCTCTATGCACATAAACTAGAAAATCTATAAGAAATTGATAAATTCCTGGATGCAGCCCTCTCAAGACTGAACCAAGAAGAAACTGAATCCCCAAAGAGACCAATAATAAGCTCTGAAATTGAGTCAGTAATAAATAGCCTATCAATTAAAAAAAAAGCCAAGGACCAGATGGATTTATAGCTAATTTCCACTAGATGTATAAAGAGCAGCTGGTACAACTCCTACAAAAACTATTCCAAAAAATCAAGGATGAGGGACTCCTCTTTAACTCACTCTATGAGGCCAATATCATCCTGATGCCAGAACCTGGCACAGACACAACAACAACAACAACAACAACAACAAAAACTTTAGACCAATATTCTTGATGAACATTAATGCAAAAATCATCAACCAAATACTGGCAAATGAAATCCAGCAGCACACCAAAAAGCTTATTCACCATTATCAAGTAGGCTTTATACCTGGGATGCAAAGTTGGTTTGACATATGCAAATCAATAAATGTGATTCATCCCACAAACAGAATTAAAGACAAAAACCACATGCTTATCTAAATAGATGCAGAAAGGTTTTTGATAAAATTCAACACCCCTTCATGTTAAAAACTGTCAATAATCTAGGTATTGAAGGAACAAAACTAAAATAATAAGAGCCATCCATGACAGACCCACAGCCAACATCATACTGAGTGGGCAAATGCTGGAAGCATTCCCCTTGAAAACCAGCACAAGACAAGGATGCCTTATCTCACCATTCCTATTCAACATAGTATTGGAAGTCCTTGCCAGGGCAATCAGGCAAGAGAAGGAAATAAAGCGCATCCAAATAGGAAGAGAGGAAGTCAAAGTATCCCTCTTTGGCAGACAAGATGATCCTGTATCTAGAAAACCCCACATTCTTGGCCCAAAAGCCCCTTAAGCTGATAAATAACTTCAGCAAAGTCTCAGGATACCAAATCAAAGTGCAAAAATCACTGACATTCCTACACACCAACAATAGTTAAGCTGAGAGCCAAATTAAAAATGCAGTCCCATTCACAATTGCCACACAAAAAATAAAATACCTAGGAATAAAACTAACCAGGGAGGTGAAAGATCTTTACAGTGAGAACCACAAAACACTGCTCAAAGAAATCAGAGATGACACAAACAAATGGAAAAACATTCCATGCTCATGGATAGGAAGAATCACTATTATTAAAATGGCCATACTTCCCAAAACAATTTATCCTTTCAGTGCTGTTCCTATTCAACTAATATTGAGATTTTTCACAGAACTAGAAAAAACTATTTTAAAAATCATATGGAACCAAAAAAGGATCTGAATAGCCAAGGCAATCCTAAGCAAAAATAACAAAACTGGAGGCATCATGCTACCAGACTTCAAACTATACTACAGGGCTACAGTAACCAAAACAGCATGGTACTCATACAAAAACAAACACATAGACCAATGGAAGAGAACAGAGAACACAGAAATAAGGCCACATACCTGCAAGCATTTGATCTTCAACAAACCTGATAAAAGCAATGGGGAAAGGACTCTCTATTTAATACATTGTGCTGGGGTACCTGGCTAGCCATTTGCTAACTGGACCCCTTCCTTACTCTGTACATGAAAATTAATTCAAGATGGATTAAAGACTTAAATGTAAAAATGAAAACTCTACAAACCCTGGAAAACAACCTAGGAAATACAGTTCTGCACATAGGAATGGGCAAAGATTTCACAACAAAGATGCCAAAAGCAATTGCAACAAAAGCAAAAATTGACAAGTGAGATCTAAATAAAGAGCATCTGCATAGCAAAGGAAACTAACAATAGAGTGAACGTAAAACCTACAAAATGGGAGAAAATTTTTGCAAACTAGTCATCTGACAAAGGTCTAATATTCAGTATCTACAACAAACTTAAACAAATTTACAAGAAAAACATCATTTAAAAAGGCAGGTAAAGGACAGGAACAGACACTTTTTTGGGGGTGAGGGGGAGAAAGAGTCTTGCTCTGTCGCCCAGGCTAGAGCGCAACGGCACAATCTCGGCTCATTGCAACCTCTACCTCCCAGGTTCAATAGAGTCTCCTGTCTCAGTTTCCTAAATAGCTGGGATTACAGATGTCTGCCATGTAATTTTTGTATTCTATAGAGATGGGGTTTCACCGTATTGGCCAGGCTGATCTCAATCTCCTGACCTCAAGCGATCCACCTGCCTCGGCCTCCCAAAATGCTGGGATTACAGGCATGAGCCACAGCACCAGGCCTGAAAACACACTTTTCAAAACAAGACATACATGTGGCTGGCAATCAGATGAAAAAAAATCTCTACAGATTTGTTGCACTTCTTCAGGGGATATAGCAATTATCACTAATCATTAGAGAAATGCAAGTCAAAACTACATTGAGATACCATCTGATATCTGTTCTAATGGCTATTACTAAAAAGTCAAAAAATAAGAGACATTATTATTTGGTGATGTTGCAAAGAAAAAGGAACACTTATACACTGTTCTTGGGAGTGTAAACTAGTTCAACCATTCTGGAAAATAGTTTGGTAATTCCTCAAAGACCTAAAAACAGAAATACTACTCAACCCAGCAATCCCATTATTGGGTATATACCCAAAGGAATATAAATCATTCTGTTATACAGGCATGTACACACATGTCTTTATAGTCACAATAGCAAAGACATGGAATCAACCTAAATGTTCATCAACAGTACACTAGATGAAGAAAAGGTGGTACGTATACACCATGGAATAATATGAAGCCTTAAAAAAAGAATAAAATCATGTCCTTTGCAGGGACATGGATGGAGCAGTAGGCCATTATCCTTAGCAAACTAATGTAGTAACAGAAAACCAATTGCCACATGCTCTCAAAGTGGGAGCTAAATGATGAGAACACTGGGACACATAGAAGGGTACAACAAACACCGAGGTCTATTGAAGGGTGGAGGGTGAGAGGAGAAAGAGGATCAGGAAAAATAACAAATGTGCTAGGTTTAATGCTGGGTGATGAAATAATGTGTACAACAAACCCCCACGACACAGGTTTACCTGTGCAGCAAACCTGCACATGTACCCTTTATTTAAAAGTTAAAATATATATATTCAAGAGGAAGAAAAGAGGATTATTTCATTAAATAGAAAACAAAGAAAAGTAGTAAACACATTCACTAAACAGCCTATGTTACATGATAAGCTGAACAACTCACCTTGTTTATCCTCTTCCAATTCACTCTCAGGGCATCCGTCATTCTCATCTATCACATTGTCATGGGCATCTGGTGCCTTCTGTGATGAGGTTTCACTCTCCTTTTCAGGGTCTAAATTATCCTTTTTATCATCCAAAGGTGACTTTGGTATTCCATTCATTTGAACATCAGCCTGTCCTTCTTCATTGACTTTTTCATCTCGTTTCTCCTCATCTACTTCAAAATCTTCTTCATATTCTGAAAACAGAAAATCTCTAGTATTAGAATGAAAATAGAACCTCTTATACTTAACCCATTTCTCTTTAATGAGAACTTTGACTCCATTATCCTCTCTTCTCTGAGACTTTCTTTGCTTCTTCCTTTCACTCAATTAGTGAACATGGAAAACTAACAGTAAATGATCAAAGATTGCAATCAGTTACATACGCAAGAGTGCAAAAGAAATGAAGCTCCAAATGACAAGGCTAAAACCTAATAAAAGTTCATTTACAAATGAACATCATCATCTAAAATAACCAAAATGGAAAGAGAAGAACTTGATATAAAACAATAAATTAGAAATAAATTAAAAATGAAGAGAACAGGAGTATAATAATGAAAGTTAATTTGGAGATCCAGTGAGGTCATATTTCATATGAAAAATGTTCAAAATATTTGGATATCAAATTAATGAATAGTGAAGTGGAAAAATTCAATTTATCAAGTCCAAAGGCCCTGAGAAGTAACACTGTGAATAGCACATTCTTCAAGAAACAAATGGACATCAAGAAAAGGCATTATGAAAGATTCTATAAGTAGGCCAGAATCGAAATCATATGCATTATTCATTCCTACAATAAATGAAATAATTACATTTCAATGATAAAAATTTATACAAAATAGAATATTCCTGTCACAGCCACAGATTTGCTTATTCCCTGCAGAGGTGCAACAAATCTATAGTAGAAAAAGGAAATTGTCACATCAGATAAACTCCAGCTGTCCCTCATGGTTATAATTTTTCACCTTTCATATTTAAGTGTTCCCCTTTTTCTAAAAATCTAAAACCAAAAACTAAAAATCTTGAAGTGACAACATGCCAAGGATAGAGAACAAGAGGATCTCATGCAGAACCAATTAAGCAAATAAACACTCATCCTTAAAATAAAAATTACAGAGAAAATAAAGGCTTCTCAATTTTGTGTGTTTTAGTAATTAGCTATACTGGCTCCTCTGCCAGTGTCGGGGGTTGGGGGGGGGGGGGCTCTTGCGTAATTTATTTGAGAGCTGTCTACCCAGTGAAAGGAACTTAATCTAGATATGGATGCCCCGTGCATATACAGAAAGCTCTGTATATACAGAGAATGAATGAGGGAGCTGTAAGAAGAAAAGTGAAATCAAAACCTTTAACAAAGTCAGATAATCACAAAAGTGTTTCCACAAAAGAGATTTAATACATTTAAATAACAAATATGAATATCGGTAAACCAAAATTGTAAAATATGCAAGAAGATGAAGAATTTGCTTTATATTGCTAGACACAAACAGGAAATACTAGTAAAAACAAGTAAATATTTTGGTGCAAGTATTACTGACCAAGTTATAGAATAATTCCTCACCTGATCCGGTTAACTATCAATCATTAAGCCTTTTTTTGTGAGAATCTTCTATGTTTAAGAGGATAAAATTGCAAGACAGAAGACATTACAATAAATCATTCCCTGCCATGAAGGACTCTCCAATTTTTGTTGAGGACATACTGTACTCGTTTATAGTAGGTTTATATATGTGGTCCTCAGTAATGTTAGTTTCAACACAACTGGCCTGGATTGCTATGGATTTTTAGATAAGACATACAATTAATTATGTGAAGTAGTGTTAAGTAAGCAGAATGGAATAAAAGGAAAATGGAAATTCATTTTAGGGGCTCATGGAAGACTTCCCAAAAGAAGAAGGTGAGGTTAGCTACAGAAAACACATACATATATCACACCACATGTGGTTGCTACTGATCATAAGATAAGCAGAGGGCCAGAGAGAATATGAGTGGATTGTTGCAATTTCATTCATAGTGTCACACAGTAGTGAAATGTGAGGTTTTGGGAATCAGGCAGTTCCGTGCCCAAGACCCAGTTAAAACACTTACTATGTGAACTTGGACAATTTGTTTAATATCTTTAAGGTTCAGTTTCTTCATCTGTAACAAGGGTTATACAAAGCTGTGATGAGTATTAAGAGCAATAATCCCTCAAACATGCTTAGCACAGTGCCGTGAATAGCAGGTACCTAATAAATATTGTGGATTAGTAGTAATAGTTATTGTGATTGGGAAGTGGAGGGAGTAGCTTATGGAACAGGAGAAATTACACACCGTATGTGCTCCTTTGACAGCAACATACTTTAGTGGAGGCACCTGATTAAAATCAGAGCAGTACAAGTATCCGCAATTAAGACACAATTACAGTTATATGATTGAAGCACTGCACAAAAATAAAGGAACATAAAGTGAACCAAAACACAGTCCCTGCATCGTATTTTGTGTTTTCTCTCAAATGTGGAAGTCAAGGCTGCCCTGGCTTTATTCTATCCCCACTATCATCACATTTAAGTATTAGCTTTCTATTAACCACAAACCTTCCACTGGCAGTATAGCTCAAAGCGAACCACCTTTGTGTCATCTACTCACAGTTTTGATATGAATGAACTAGTGGCATGCTTTCTAAAATCTTTTACATAATATCTTCTGTTCTCCCCATCCCATTTGCCTTCTTCTAGAGAATTTAATTAGCTTGTTGTTTACCATCCCCACTAATAAGGATGTGAGTCAACACCAGGTCAGCATCAATCCAGCCACAACCTTCTCTTACTGACCTCGACTCAAGCTTCTTGCTGCCCTTAGATCAGCGACTATTATGCAAAGAACTAAACCGTTGCTGCTGCAGCTACATTTTTAAAAACAGAAATGGGCCGGGCGTGGTGGCTCAAGCCTGTAATCCCAGCACTTTGGGAGGCCGAGGCAGGTGGATCATGAGGTCAAGAGATCGAGACCATCCTGGTCAACATGGTGAAACTCCGTCTCTAATAAAAATACAAAAAATTAACCGGGCTTGGTGGCCTGTGCCTGTGATCCCAGCTATTTGGAAGGCTGAGGCAGGAGAATTGCCTGAACCCAGGAGGCAGAGGTTGCAGTGAGCCGAGATCATGCCATTGCACTCCAGCCTGGGTAACAAAAGCGAAACTCCATCTCAAAAAAACAAAAAGACCAGAAATGGACATTTAAAGTCCATTAACTAGCTAACACAGAAGAAAGACTTATGGAATAGCCTCATCATAGGTATTATGAGTATAAACTACATCACTCATAGCACTAGCTATGTTGGTTTAAGAAAAAAAAGAAAATGAAAAGCTTTCATTGAACATGACTTTAATAAACCACCATGTCTTCAAAGTTAAAAAACATGAGAACACATCCTATTTGTTAATCCCTCTGTGATTATTATTGCTACAGATAGATTAGAATTCTCATCTCAAGATAAGACAAAGACTAGAAGAGATTGTGAAGAAAGGTGAGCTGGTAAAAGTGTTCTAAGTGAAATCTTTTGTAAAAGATACACTTTATTCAGTAAAAATCAAGCATGAAGTCTACTGCTATAACAGCCCTGTAATTATTCTCTTGGATTTCTGAAACACTTGGGCAGCAAAAATATGAGGTGGGGAATAAGATACCTAGAAGTTGTCCCTTTCCCAAAGCCAGCCCTTCCACAGGTCACCCTAACCCATGGCTATTGTGCCTTCTATACAGGTTTTGTCTCCTGAGTTTGAGGGATACACAAGCATCTCTCCCTTTCTGATTCTTTGGACATGCTATGTACCACCATGTAGTGGGTAAGCTAACTTTTACAGAATAGATGGTTGTACAGTGTTTGAAAGACTAAGCTTTGGAATTAGACAAACCTGGGTACAAATTCTTGTTCTGCTACTTTCTTTTTGTATATCTAAGCCTCAATTTCTAAGCCTGTAAAATGGAAGTAGTAATAATACCTACCATGCTGAATGGTGAGGATGAAATGAGATAGCATGTGCACAGTGCCTAGTTCAGTGCTCAGTATCTGACACTTTCATTATTGTTGTTATTACTGCTTTAGGAATAAGTATATATAGGCATACCTATATACATGTATAAATATATACAAGCATACTTATATCCCTGAATATATATATATTCTATATACAGGTGTACCTCATGGATTGCAGGTTCAGTTCCAGGCCATTGAAATAAAGATAGTTGCATAAATTTTTTGGTTTTCCAGTGCATCTAAAATTATGTTTCTACTATGCTGCAGTCTATTGAGTGTACGACAGCATCATATATAAAAACGCAATGTATACACCTTAACTAAAATCACTTTATTGATAAAAGTTGCTAACAATCATCTCAACCTTAGCTGGTCATCGTCTTTTTGCTGGTGGAGGATATTCCCTTGATGTTAATGGCTGCTGACTGATCAGGGTGGTGGTTGCTGAAGGCTGGGGTGGCTAAGGCAATTTCTTAAAATAAGACAACAATGAAGTTTGCCACTTCAATTGACTCTTCCTTTCATGAAGATTTACCTGTAGCATTTAATGCTGTTTAATAGCATTTACACATAGTAAAACTTCTTTCAAAATTGGGGTCAATCCTGCCAAATGCTTCCACTGATTTATCAACTAATATGCTTTATACATATTCTAAATTTTTTGTTGTCATTTCAACAATGTTCACAGAATCTTTACCAAAAGTAGGTTTTATCTCAGGAAACTTCTTTCTCTGTTCATCCCTAAGAAGCAACTCCTTATCTATTCAAGTTTTATCATGAGATTGCAACAATTCAATCTCATCTTAGGCCAGGCTTCTAATTCTCTTGCTATTTCTACCACTTCTGCAATTACTTCCTCCACCAAAGTCTCGCTCCTCAAAGTCACCCATGAGGGCTAAAATCACCTTCTTTCGAACCCTGTTTATGTTGATATTTTGACCTCCTGCCATGAATCATGAATGTTCTTAATGGCGTCTCCTTTCCAGAGAGTTTCCAGTTGAAATCGCCCTGATCCATCAGAGGAACAATTATCTAGGGCAGCTATAGCCTTAAAAAATATATTCCTTAAAGAATAAGATCTGAAATTACTCCTTGATCCATAAGGATAGCAACAGAGTGGATGCTGTGTTAGCAGGCATGAAAACAACACTCATTTCATTACACATCTTCATCAAAGCTCCTGAGTGACCAGGTACATTGTCAATGAGTGGTAATACTTTGAAAACTATCTTTCTCTGAACAGCAGGTCTCAACAGTGGGCTAAAAATACTCCAAAAACATGCTGTAAATAGAAGTGCTGTCATCCAGGCTTTGTTTCATTTATGGAGCAGAAGCAGATAAAATTTAGCATAAAGTTTAAGGGTCCTAGGATTTTTTGGATGCTAAATGAGCATTGGCTTCAACGTGAACTCACCAGCTGCATTAGCCCCTAGCAGAAGAGTCAGCCTATCCTTTAAAGCTTTGAAGCCAAGTGTTGAGTTCTCCTCTCCAGCTATGAAAGTCCTAGATGGCCACTTTTTCCAATGGAAGGCTGTTTCATCTGCACTGAAGACCTGTTGTTTAATGTAGCTACATTTGTAAATGATCTTAGCTAGGTCTTCTGGATAAAATTTCAGCAGCTCCTACATCAGCACTTGCCACTTCACCTTGCACTTCTGTGCTGTGGAGATGGCTTTTTTTTTTTTTTTTTTTTTTTTTTTTGGGATGGAGTCTTGCTCTATCACCAGGCTGGAGTACAGTGGCGCAATCTTGGCTCACTGCAACCTCTGCCTCCTGGGTTCAAGCAATTCTTCCACCTCAGCCTTCCGAGTGGCTGGGACTACAGGTGTGTGCCACCACGCTCAGCTAATTGTTGTATTTTTGGTAGAGATGGGGTTTCATCATGGCCAGGATGGTCTCGATCTCTTGACCTCGTGATCTGCCCACCTCAGTCTCCCAAAGTGCTGGGATTACAGGCGTGAGCCACCACACCTAGTCAGCTTCTTTCTTTAACTCTCATGAACCAACCTCTTCTAGCTTCATACTTTTGTTCTGCATCCTCTTCACCTCTCTCAGCTCTCATGGAATTGAAGAGAGTTAGGGGCTTGTTCTTAATTAGGCCTTGGCTTATGAGAATGTTGTGGCTAGTTTTATCTCCTATCCAGACCAATAAAATTCTCTGCATATCAGCAATGAGGATTTCTTTTTTATCATGCACATGTTCACTTGAAATAGCACTCTTACCTTCCTTCAAGAATTTTCTTTTGCATTCACAACTTGGCTGTTTGACACAAGAGGACTAGCTTTTGGCCTATCTTGGCTTTTGATATGCCTTCCTCACTAAGCTTAATGATTTCTAGCTTTTGATTTAAAGTGAAAGATGTGAAACTCTCCCTTTCACTTGAACATTTAGAGTGTACTGTGTAGGGTTATTAATTAACCTAATTTCAATACTGTTGTGTGTTAGGGAAAGGACGGAGAGGGAGAGAGACTGGAGAACAGCTGGTCAGTGGAGCAGTCAGAACATTGATTAAGTTCACTTTCTTACATGGTAGAGTTCATGGCACCCCAAAGCAGGTGCAATAGTAACATCACAGATCACTGATCACAGATCACCATGACAGATATAATAATAATGAAAAAGTTAGAAATATTGACAAAATGTGACACAGAGATGAAGTGAGCACGTGTTGTTGGAAAAAATGATGCCGACAGACTTTGATGCAGGGTTGCCACAAAGCTTTAATTTATAAAAAGTGCTATATTTGCAAAGCTTGTGAAATAAAGCAGAGCACAATAAAATGAAGTGTACCTGCTTATGTATGTATGTATGTATATATATGAATGAGGATGTGTCTGTGTGTGTGTGTGTGTGTGTGTGTGTGTCTGTGGAGAGAGAGACAGAGAAGCAGGGGAAGGCAGGAGAGAGGAGGAAGGAGAGAAGAGAGAAAAAAGAAGCAAGCAAATAAACAGCAGACAGATAGGTTCCATGACCCTAAGCCTATAGTCAATTGCTTTTAGTTCTGGAATACTGTATCACCATATAATCATATACATTGTACCTACCTGATGCCAAAGCAATTCATCAATTTCACCCAAAACAGTACATTCCAAAACGTTAAAAATAGCTAAAATTCTGTTTGGTCAAAGTGGTTTCTGCAGAACTCAATAGAGTCTCTAACTAACATTGGCTTATACTCCCTTCTCCCTTCTCATCCCTGCAACAGCACCTTTAACCTTAGGTCTGCCCTCCTCTAAGGCAGGGGACACAAGATTCCATACAAAACAGCAGAGGAAGGAGGTCAGGGGTGCCTCACATGTAACAGAGCTGCCTAAAGTCCACAACATTTAATGGATATTTTTGCAAATTTTGATAATCACGGTTCAAAGACAAAAAAAAAAAAAAAACAGCCACAGCAACAACAAAAGACACCTGTGTTGTTGATTACCATATTTTAAAGTATTTTCCTGGTCATCTTCCCAGACATCTTGTCCTGGTTTTCCTTTACTTTCCATTTCCTCCACAGCAGTTATTACTTCTTTGAGCCCTGTTTTTATTTCTTGAGCTGAGTAAATGTCTGAGACAGAGGTTTTGTTCCCCTTAATCTCATTTCTTCTTGGTATCATATACTTTCTCTCTTCCCTCACTTTCCCCTCAGCTTTCTTCAGTTCCTCTCCTTTCTCAGTGCTCTTTTCTTCCCTAGATTTTGGCAAAGATGTTTTTTTGTCAAGTCCCATCGCAATAATGCACCTACGAAAAATATTAACAGGAAGTGTTTGTTAATCGTTATAGGCAGCACAAGAGAACCTCAAAGCTTTTGAAATCACTTATCTCTTATTCTAGTAAAAAATGATATGCAAATATTTCTATTAGAGTATATGCTAATAAAAATAAACTATTTGAAAAGTTAATTAAAAATAAACTGTTCTTTTTTGATACTAAAATCTTGTAAACAAACACAACGAATTCTTAATATTTACCCACAATAATAAATAAAATAACTCATCAACCAAGAATGATAGTTTCAAAGTAAAATCGGTGTCTTCAAGTATATTTTTGGTCCTAAACAGTAAATATCTATCATAAATACAGAAATACAGATGGTATAGAATTTTACATACATGAAGATATATTTCAAGTCTTTAAATGAAAATTATGTGATAATACAACATGCAGATTTATAAACATAGAGAAGCTGATATAAAAATGGTGAGAAGATGAAAGATGCCATTCATTCTGATAATTTATTTTAACAACACAACAACAGTAACAAAAGACTTACAAGATTGACTCTAAATAAATATGACTAATTTTTAAAAAAATATGTATAGTCAAATGTTGTTGCATCTTTTAAGTAAATAACTCAGGAGTTTGTACACTTATTTTCATGGAACTGTCATTATTGTTTTTAGAATGGCCTTTTGAAGTCTATACTACAGTCTTCTGGTGAGTAATAAGTTCTTATTCCTCCAAAACGGCAATAATTTGTGGAGATTATGAGGTCATTCAAGTCAAATCTGTTGAGCCATGCAGATAATCTGAATGCATTATGACATTAAAACTTTTAAAATCAATTATAACAAAAGTAATGTGAATAAATTGTCTTCTATAGCCTTTTTCTACCTCTTAAGTTGATATTAAAATAAGAATTCTAATGATGATAGTATATACATTAATAAAAATGATGATTATGATAATGATAAGATTATTGAGCACTCCCTCTGTGCCAAGCTCTTTTTTGGGTACTCTGTATCCATTATCTTAAGGAATTCGTTACCTCATAGACCAATAAATTAAGAACTATCATCACCACTTTACAAATGAGAAAACTGAGGCTTAAAAGGTTCTAGCAGCTCAAGGTCACCCAGCAGGCGGGTGATAGAGCTGGATTCTAACTCAAGATTTTTAGGTTCCATCATATCATATTGACGCACAAACATACTCATCTATTACAGGTGTAGCCCTCCAGTTCCTAGTTATGATGTAACTAGTAGAGATGACTAGTTACTCAGACAAATGTTACACTGTTGAGCTTACCACCAAAGAAAGAACTCACAATCTCTCAGCAGACACTAACACAATCTGGAGAAGTTTCTGGCAAAACCTGGAGAAAACCCATGATCTGAAATAGGTATCTGGTAGTTATCAGGCTCCTCGTTCTCCCTTCTCTAGAACTACTCATGTCCCCCTCTCTCCTTGTAACCCAACTGTCAGAGAACTGAAATTATAGCAGGCAGGTGAAAGGGATCAGAAAGCAGTCAAGACTTGCCAGTCCCAGAAGAATAGGAAAAATATGTAAAATCTGAAAAATGCCTCAACCTGAACGAATCCAATGGCAATTTCTTAAACTGAAGATTTTCCTAAATTTCAGCTGTCTACAGTGTAGAAACAGCAAAGAAATTGATCTCAATAAATTTTCCCAACAAGCAAATATGAGAACTGAGTTATATCACTTAACTTTTCAATATCTCTCCATAAAATAAAGCTAAAAGGATTTGCACTCAAAGTAACTATCAGGCTGTAAAAAATGAGATAATAAGATTATACTTATCTCACCCATATTAAGCATGATAAATATTTCTTGACTGTAATGATGATGTGCTTAGCACATTGCTTTCCTTGGGATAAAGGTGTCATGAATCTTCACAGAATATGATTACCAGCACTCCCTTCTGTTCAAGCTGTTCTTCCCTTATCAATTGCAACACCAAATCCATTGATTTGGAGCCTGTGATATGCTGTTACTTTTAGTTTATGTTGTGGCTGCGTAAAGGCTTTGATGCCTCCCTACTGCATGCACAGACTTTTTATTGCCCATCTGCCGAAGGGAATTGGACAAACAAAGTGAGTAACATCTGTGCTCTCCTCGTCAGTGACTACCTATTTGACTTCTGAATATAATTTGAGGTGTTGATTATGATTACTAAAGCTCAAAGCAGTCTGCATTCTACATGGTTAGGCAATTCTTCCCATGCTTCACGCTAGCAATGGAAAATTACTATGCCTCTTCAGACAGTTGCTATGATTGAGAGATGAGTACAGTTGTGGAACCTCACACTTTGGAAGTGACCACTGCTCCTCTTTTCTTGCTTTCTGAGTGCCTTAAACAGGTTATTCCTAATCCTTTTAGAAATATAATTTTCTGTTGTTTTATTGTATTATTCCCTCCTTTTTCTCATCATAAATGTAAAATTAATTTCACTTTGAATGAATTGGAGGAATTAGTGTACATTGCTTAAAATAATTAAAAGTATCATTATGGGTGTGGCAACAAAACCAAGGTTACAGAAGATAATAAGTGATATCAGTTTCCTTCAGGGTACTTCTTAACTTTCCATGGAGTTCTGCAGTGTTATGGCCTCTAGAATAACTAGAAATGTCTCAAGTGTGGAAGAGGACAAACAATCAAAGCCCTAGGACTCACTCACCTACCCCTGTCCCATTTAAACCAGTCTGACTCAACTTTTACCTGACCTATAACAGGTAAAACACAATCTGGAGTTTTACCAGTGACAATGGTAAAACTATTGTCATTATATCCAATGACAATATACTGTTCTACTTTGAGCATTCACAGATTTCACTGGAATAATGGTTATGAAGTTAGCAAAAAAAATGGAAAACCATTTTTCTATAAGAACTGTGCATTTCAGTTGAAAGTCATAAGCCTTATTCTTTAATATTGTAACCATTCTAATATTATTATTTGAAAGGTTGAAGAAAGAATCTGGAGGGGACCAAGTGTGGAAATCATAGAAAGAATTGTACAGAGCCTAGTGGGTATTGAATAGGAGAGTAAATTCCATTAGTCAGATTTTGGTAATGATTATTAAACCTTCATAGAAAGTGCTCAGGGCTGATAATTTACAGCTTAGATTTATACCATAACTCCCAAAGAATGCAATATATTTGCACATGGAGGGTTGTATATAAGTTCATTAGCTGTCTTGGGAATTAAATAGAACTGTGTTAAATGACCTGCTCCCAAGTAAGGGGATAGCATATCTGAGTTGGAATAGTAAGGCACTTCAGGTGACCCCCAGTACAGCTGGGCATTGACACTATCTTGCCCTAGACCATTCAATTTTCCATTCTCTTCATGATTCTTTCATGCTCTTATCTCTCTGAAAACATCCAACCCCTCTTATGTAAGCATTAACCTCCGTTGATAAATTTATCATTGTTTAAGAAAATAGAAACAATCAGCAGAGAGCTTTCAGTTGTTCCCAGCACATCTATCAGTCCCAATTTACTTTTCTTGTATGCCCAGTTTCTTTCCTCCTGTTACTATACAAGACTGTTTCTCCTCTTCTTAAAGCTTATACCCCCATTTGAGCCCTAGAGCTCATCTTCTCCTGTCTACCCAAGCATTTGGCTCCAGAAAGTTTCCCCCTTTATATCATACTTCATGTTTTTTCTTCTCCAGGGTATTCAATCTTATGAGAGATATATTACAGTATCTCTCATTTTAAAAAGTAAAAAGTCTTCCTTGACCCCCTACATTCTTCCTCCTGGCTACCACCTAATTATGATTCTTTACAGCAAAACTCTTAAAAACTTCTCTATAGTCGCTGGCCTTAGTTCTTCCCCAAGTATTTCTTAAACCCACTCCAAGAAAGCTTACATCCCAATTGCTGCACTGTAATAACTTGTGCCGTGATCACTAGTAACCAACACAGTACCAAGTCAATGTCCAATCCCCAGTCTTCATTTTACTTCACCTATCCGCACATTCAACTCCATTAATCATGCCCTTATTCTTTAACCATTTTCTTTATTTTCAAGATACTATTCTCTCTAGATTCTCTTTCTATTCACTGCCTTTCCTTCTTAAGCTGGTTCCTCTTTACCTCCCTCTCCTTTTAAATCGAGTGATATGGAACTCATTACTCAGACATCTTCTCTATGTTCAATTCTGAGGCAATCTTATAAATGTCATCCAAATGCAAATCATTCTTAGATTTGTATATCCAGCCTGGACCTCTTACCTCACCCCAGATTCATATATCCAACTGCCTACTAGCATCTCTACTTGCTTATCTCATACATGCCTCACACTTAATGTGTCCTGGGCAAAAACCACTTCATACCACCCCCAAAGCCTTCTTCTTCCAGAGTCTCATCTTAAGTACATGTTAACTGGACAGCTTTGTTATTCAAAACAAAAAAATTTGAATTATCTTTGACTCTGCTCTTTATCTCATTCCCTGCATCCAATTCATCAGTAAATTCTGTAATCTCCACCTTTGAAATTACTTCTAACTCATTCCACCATTAACTCATCTCTGGATTGAAGTAGCTCTTCTATTTTCCTTACACTCCCTTGTTTATTTTTCCCATAGGAGTTACTGTTAGATCATGATAAGTCATTGCTCAAAACCTACCTTAGAAGCTTCCCATCTTTCTCAGATAAAAGTTAAAGTCCTTGCAATGACCCTAGCACTCTACATGGCTTATCCTCATGGTCTCTCTGACCTCATCTTCAATTTCATGGTTCTATTCCTTTTGCTCTGGCCAAGTTACCTTAGGCACACCAAGCATGTGCCTGCCTCCTGTCTTCTGTATATGCTTTTCCTCTATCTCAAAAGCTACTTCAAGAAAGAGACTTAGATTTTCTAGTTCCTGCTCAAAAAAAATCGGAGAGGCCCTTCCTAACCATCCTACATAAAATAACACACTCCCTGTGACTCTTGTCTTCCTCCACTCCATGAATCTGCCTTACCCTGCTTGTGCTCATAATGGTGACCATCTCAAACATATTAATTGTTTTACTGGTATGTTATTAGCTTTTCCTCCATTAGAATAAGTTCCACAGAGACATGTAATGTAGTTGACTCACTCTTGTGTTCTAGCTTGGCATCTAGCCAATGCTTGATGAATACTTTCAGAAAATGTGAAAGCCCGCAAGCAAGACTCCTGATTTCAAACAGAATGTTCAATATGAAAGCTGATAACAGTCAAAACTGACCTTTTATCATGCATTTTGTTATGCCCACGATTGAAACTAAGGGCGAGAATGAAAATTGGGTCAGACAGTAATGCAGACAAACCTTTAATAGGCATAACCTATAATGTCCAGCCGTGTAAGTCAGATGCTTGGCACACACTTTAAGGCTCAGCGTTAAACCAGTTAGTAAGATGAATAAGAAAACAGGACAAACAAACAAACAAAAACAACAAGCAAACAAAAAATCTCTCTCCTTCCCTTCAGAAACAGATCTTAAAGTGTGAAGAAAGGAGCTGGGCATGGCGGCTCATGCCTGTAATCCCAGCACTTTGGGAGCCGAAGGTGGGTGGATTACAAGGTCAGAAGTTCAAGACCAGCCTGGCCAACATGGTGAAGCCCCGTCTTTACTAAAGAAATACAAAAATTAGCTGGGCATGATGGCATGTGCCTGTAATCCCAGCTACTGGGAGACTGAGGCAGGAGAATTGCTTGAACCAGGGAGGCAGAGGCTGCAGTGGGCAGAGATTGCGCTACTGCACTCCAGCCTGGTGACAGAGGAGACTCAGTCTCTGAAAAAAGCAAACAAACAAAAGTGTGAGGAAATGAAAGATAGAAAGTGAAATAATTTAAAATGCACTGCCTTTTATCTTTATTATATAACACCTCTGGAAATCTGATTTATATCTTAAAATTTCAAATTCAGTACTCCATGTTAAAATAAACAACCCTGAACTGACATATTTTAGGCTCATATATAGGAGGCAATTTTTTTAACAATTGTGAAGGGAAATGCATTAGTAAAAGCATTCAAAGAAAAATGTAGCAAAACTTGCCCTCTACCAAAGGACATTTGTTTCCATACTTGTAGCAAGGAGATGATCTCTCAACACACACAAACCCAAAGTAGCCTCGTTTGCCTCCAAGCCTGGAACCTTTTCGATGCTTGTATTCACAGCAGGAGCTTAGCCTGTTCACCTGCATCCCATTCAGGAAAAAGGTGAGACTGAAGGGGAAACCATGGTGTCTTTTGGAAATAAACTGAAAGGTCTCTGGAATTAAAATAGAAATACATTAGTGAAAGCAACTGACTTCGGACTAACAGCTGTTAAATCATATTTTTCTATTAGATAAATACAATATTATGATCTCGATCAGGGGTGTCCAGTCTTTTCGTTTCCCTGGTCCACACTGGGAGAATAATTGTCTTGGGTCACACATAAAATACACTAACACAGACAATAGCTGATGAGAAAAACAAACAAACAAAAACAAGGAAAAAAGGTTCTTGCATAAATCTCACAATGTTTTAAGAAAGTTTTTGAATTTGTGTTGGGTAGCATTCAAAGCCATCCTGGGCCACATGCACCGTAGGCCATAAATTGGATAAGCTTGATCTAGATCATCTTTTAATTTGAGGACAATTTTTGACAATAAGATTGCATTTGATTACTTTTATTTAATAAATACTTTAACTTTTTATAAAAACTCTGATTTGTAATAAAATAATAATACCTAAGGTTATATGAGCACTTACTATGGCCAGGCATTATGACTTATTATCTTGTTATTTTTCAATCAGGTGAAGTGGGAATTTTTCTATTGCTAATTTCTAGGTCAAGAAATTAAGACTTAGAAGAGTTCAGTAACTCTTCTGGCTCACTTAGAAGAGTTCAGTAATTTACTCAAGATCATACAAGGAGTTGGAGAGTTAGAATTTGAATCCAAACATCTCTGTAGAGTCCATACCTCTATCTTTCTGTGCTATATATTGACAAAGCAATTAATGGCAAAAGCCTACTGTGAGCTCATTAAAGCATTTTAAAATGCTTTTGTTTTTAGTTGTGACTTTAAATATCCTAAGGCATATATGAATGAAACAGTTATTTCATCTCCAAGCTATACTCAATTCTGTTTGGATTTGAGAACACTTTCCACCAATAAATTTAGAACCACTGCCTACAATTAACAGTTTTTAATCATCCAAGTCTTCATAATGCTCTTTGCAAAGCTCCCACCCTGCCCCGCTTTCCCTACAGAGATCCTAAGCCGTAAGTCTGGGAAACCTTATTCTCTACAGAGTGACTCAAAATCCTGTGTCTCATGAATATTTCTTTTTTTTTTTTTTTTTTTTTTTTTGAGACGGAGTTTCGCTCTTGTTACCCAGGCTGGAGTGCAATGGCACAATCTCGGCTCACCGCAACCTCCGCCTCCTGGGTTCAGGCAATTCTCCTGCCTCAGCCTCCTAAGTAGCTGGGATTACAGGCACACGCCACCATGCCCAGCTAATTTTTCTTATATATTTAGTAGAGACGGGGTTTCACCATGTTGACCTGGATGGTCTTGATCTCTTGACCTTGTGATCCACCCGCCTCGGCCTCCCAAATTGCTGGGATTACAGGCTTGAGCCACCGCGCCTGGCCCTCATGAATATTTCTTATGTCACTTCCTTAAAAAAAAAAAAAAAAAAAAAAAGGAAGAAAGAAAGTGAAAGAGCCTCTCTGGACACTTCCATGTCTGCCAATTAATAATGTTAACAATTTTCACCTCTCTACTATGTACACATTTCCTATTGTTGCACTTACTACCACATATTAAGATATATACCAATGGTTTTCAAATTTTAATGTATATCAGCATCACTTAGAGGGATTAGTAAAATACAGATTGCTGGGCTTTATCTGTTTCTGATTCAATAGGTCTGTGGTAAGAATCAAGAATTTGCATTTCTAACAAGGTTCCAGGTGGTGCTGATGCTATTAGTCTATGGACTGCCTTCTAAGAATGCTAATCTAGATGTTTGCTGCTTTGCATGTTTGTGAAATCCATAAGAGCTGAAGTTGATGCATCTTTTTTCTCCAAATCCCAGGATGACGGCATAGAAGGCTACCCCCCAAAAATTAGTGAATTATTTTAATCTATTTTTTCAGTTATTTTGAAACGCTGTGTACCACATTTTCCCTAAAAAAAAAAAAGTCTCTACACTAGATGCAGTTCATTCTAAAGAACAGACTTATTTAAAATGTCATTCTGTCATTTATACCTTAGTGTTTCTGATGTAAAATTAAGCAAACTAGGAAAGAGAAAGCTGAAAAAGTACAGAGTCTGGGAAAACTAGGATACAATTATTTTTAAAAATCCATTTGTCTTAATGATACAATATCTTTAAAAATCCATTTGCCTTAATTTCACCTCAGGTGGTGAAAGCAAGTTTGATTGTTTTTGTTATAGAAACTTGGATTCTACATTCATGTAACATGAACCATTTTGCTGCAGTATCATGCCCCATAACTTCCTAAGTCCTCAGTTTAGTAATAGATTACAGTCAAGGAAATGTTGAGAATGGACTCAGGAAATCGAAGTGACTGCCCTTCCATCTGATGCTCGTGCAGCTCAAGAGAATACCCAGATATTACTCCATTTTGTTTTTTCATTGTTTTTCAGACTTCTAGAACAAGAATTGACACCCTTTGCCTTTACTCCTTTGCTACTTATTTTTGTAATTTAAATACAGTGATACCTCCCCATCTTGACTTAATGATTATCTTCATGGAGTAGTGGAAAGAATATAGTTTAGAAATCAGAAGGTTTTGGTCCATGATGCAGGTGAGCGTATCTTGGTGAGCCTTTTAACTTTGTTGCATTTCAGAATTCTCACCCATAAAATAGAGATGGGGGTGGGGAGAATGCTCTAGTCTATCCACAACACAGCCTTAAAGATTTGACAACATAAAATATTAGAAAGCATTATATATGCTTACAATTATAATATTTGTACAGTTCATTATTTATTGTTCACTTACAGTTGGTAGCACTGTTTTAGGGACTAAAGAGAAACAAAAATACTGAAAATATCAAATGTGGTCTCCTCACTCAAGAAGATATCATTAAACAGGAGAGGCAAAATAAATACATCGGACTTCTGGGTTGCGGTCACCAAATCCTCTCTTCCTTAAAAATTTATCTCTGGAAATGAACCAAAGGCTTAAAACCAACTGAGAAGTATGTATTCATGAAAAATTATTGAACGTTAGGTAATGGGAATCCATGGCATTTTTGCCTGGGGCTACTGTCCTCCCCAACATCTGCTACTACCTTATCACAGCAGTTCTAATAGAGTAGGCCAGGCCATAAATAACCGGCCACTTTGCTGTCAGTGGAGACTGACTCAATTTGAAGTGCAAGGAAAAAAAACCCTTGGTCTGTGGCATGACCAGTAATAAGTAGTAATGTCAGAGGCAATCTGACAAAGAAGTCAGAGGTTCCACTGGCCTGTTATCGTAGTTTTGGTGTTTTTTGTTTTTGTTTGTATTTTTTTAGGAGTCTTGTTCTGTCACCCAGGCTGCAGTCCAGTGGCGCAATCTTGGCTCACAGCAACCTCCGCCTCCTGGGTTCAAGCTATTCTCATGTCTCAGCCTCATGAGTAGGTGGGATCACAGGGACACATCACCAAGCCCAGATAAATTTTTTTTTTTTTTGGTATTTTTGTAGAGACGGGGTTTAGCCATGCCGGCCAGGCTCCTAACCTTAGGGGTCTGCCTGCCTCAGCCTCCCAAAGTGCTGGAGTTATAGGCATGAACCACCACACTGTCATGACTGTAGTTCTAATAAGAGTAAACAATAGGCCAGTGGACTACTCAAAATTTAACCGGAAGATAGAAACAATAAGGCAGTCATAAAAGCATTTGATAAGCTCATTATAGATCCCTGGCTAACTGGAAGTGGCATGGATCAGAGAGGCCTCAACCTTTTCATACGTCTCCAGCCTACCAGTAGCTTTTCCCTATGCACAGAAAAAAACACAAGAGAGCCTGGTGGAAAATAAAAGTTAACGCAGACTTGAAAACTGCCTGAGGTTTGAATGTACCCCTGAACCCACTGTAGTCGGCTTAATTGTGTCCTCCAAAAATTCATAACCACCTAGAACCTCAGAATGCGACCTTGTTTGGACATAGGGTTTTTACAGATATAATTAGTGTAAGATTGAGATGAGATCACCCAATGACTGATGTCCTCATAAAAAGAGGTGAGGGTTGGGCATGGTGGTTCACGCCTATAATCCCAGCACTTTGGTGGGTGGATCACGAGGTGAGGAGTTCGAGCTCAGCCTGACCAATATGATGAAACCCCATCTCTACTAAAAATACAAAAATTAGCTGGGCGTAGTGGTACATGCCTGTAATCCCAGCTACTCAGGAGGCTGAGGCAGAAGAATCATTTGAACCTGGGAGGCAGAGGTTGCAGTGAGGAGAGATTGCACCACTGCACTCCAGCCTGGGCAACACAGCAAGACTCCGTCTCAAAAAAAAAAAAAAGGTGAGGACACGCACAGACACATAAGAATACCATGTGAACACAGAGGCAGAGATTGGAGTGATAGAACCACAGGCTGAGGAAGGCCAGTTGAAAGAGTTAAGAAGAATACTTCCTCTCGGGGCTTTTCAGGGAGGGTGTCCCTGCCAACGCCTTCATTTTTTACTTTTGGCCTAGAAACCCACGAGAGAATAAATTCTTGATGTTTTCAGCTTTACTTTTGGGGATATTAGCACTGAACTATAAAAACACAGAGACTAACCTAAGAGTCCAGACTAAAAAAGGTAGCAATATACTTTTTTAAAAATCTAAGCAAAACATCACTGGCTCTGCACCAAGATGATGGAGGCTAAATTTCACTGATTTAACTTAAGTAAGTCACTAAAACAACCACAAAAAACAAAAAAAAAAAAAAAAAGAGAAAGGGAAAAACAGAAACAACAACAACCCTTGATAGGGAAAGGTCAGAATCCAGAATTCCAGAATTCTCAGGAGCTTTAATATACTACCTAAAATATGTAGCTTTCAACAACAACAACAAAAAAATCAAAATACATGTTAAAAAAAAGTGGAAAATGTGACCTACACTTAGAAATAAAAGGAATCAAAACCACACCTAGGAATCTAACCAAGAACAACATATATCTACACAAAAACCTGTGTTTTCACATTCATAGTCCCAAACTAGAATCAATACAAATGTCTATTAACTGGGGAATAATTTTTTAAAAATATGGTATATCCATCTAATGGAATATCCTCAACAATATAAGGAGAGAGCCACTACTGATAGTACAAATATGCATGACTCTCAAAAACATTACGCCAAGAGCAACAAGGCAAAATATTACTCGTGGAGTGATCGTGTTTATAGGAAATTTCCAGGAAAGAAAATCTGTATAGTCAGAAAGCAGATCAGTGGCTTCCTGGGACTGACTATGAGATAGGGACCAACTGTCAGAGAGAACAAGGGAACTTGCTGAAGTGCTGGAGGTGTCCTACACCTGGTTTACGATCATGGCTGCACAACTCAGTACAATTCCAAAAAGAAATTAAATTATACATTTACAACGAATAAATTTGATGGTATTTAATTTATTCCTCAATAAAGCTATTTTTTAAACCTAAAAAAAGGCAATAAGTAAAACAAAAATAAGAAACAGGGCCAGTGTGGTAGCTAAAGCCTGTAATCTAATGCCTTGTGAAGCCAAAGCAGGAGGATTGCTGGAGTCCAGGAGTTTGAGACCGGACTGGGCAACACAGCAAGATACATCTTTAAAAATTAGCTGGGTATGGCTGAGATAGGAAGATCACTTTACTCCAGGAATGCAAGGCTATGATGAGCTATGATTGTGCCAATGCACTCTAGCCTGGGTGAGAGAGAGAGAAAGAGAGACTGTCTCTTAAAATTTAAAAAAAAAAAAAATGGGGTCCAAAGTGGCTCCTGCCAGAGATCATGGCGCTCGTGAAGGCGAGGTCATCAGTTCAAGGCTAACCTGATCAACCTCATAAGCTCAAACTGATTGGCAAAAAAATAATAATAATAATAAATAAAAAAATAAAAATAAAATAAAAAATAAACAGTATAAGTCAAAGCACAATGAGCTGCTTTGGTTTTGAGTGTTGCATGAAAGCTATTGGGGTAAAACAGAGTAGAAATCAGTGAGAAAGCTGCCCAGCCTTAGTCTGAGTCCCAGAAGATGGGTAAGATTTAAATTTGAAAAGGAGAAAAGACTTTGGGAGGCCGAGGCGGGTGAATCACAAGGTCAAGAGATCGAGACCATCCTGGTCAACATGGTGAAACCCCATCTCTACTAAAAATACAAAAAATTAGCTGGGAACGATGGCGCGTGCCTGTAATCCTAGCTACTCAGGAGGCTGAGGAAGGAGAATTGTCTGAACCCAGGAGGTGGAGGTTGTGGTGAGCCGAGATCGCGCCATTGCACTCCAGCCTGGGTAACAAGAATGAAACGAGAAAGTATTATAGACAAAGGAAATAGCACATGCAAAGAGAAAGTAATAGTGTGTATGGGACAGTGAAGCAGCTGTGTTTGCCAGAGCATAATAAGGAATGCACAGATAAGTGCAACAAGATCCAGTTATAGAAATACAAGAAAATGGGGCAAGAAAGGAAGGAATTCTAAGAAAGCCAGAAAGAAAAAATGTTACTTTTTTTTTTTTGCATTTATGTAAACCCAAGAAGCCAAGGTTTGTGTTGTTTGAAAGGATAAACATGGCAAATAAAAATGCCTATGAAGAAATTGTACTCTACAAGTAGCAGAAAATACTCAATAACTTCATAGGTGTATATAATAAACAATCAGCTTGTGGCTTGAAGTCTAAAATCAAACTGCAAGACATCATAAATTACTTGGGAATAAAGGATGTACTTGCCACAGTTCTAAATAATTAATTTTATTGTTACTTCTAATAAAAAGGCAAGACAAATTCACAAAAGCCAAATTTTAATGAGTTTACTGCTCCAAGCGCAATGTCAAATGCCACCCCTCCAACTTTTGTTAACAGAAATCTTTTAATACCCTATTCACATTTTACTGACTCATGCACAGCTTTGATTTGTAGAAAGGGCAGATTCTTTTCAGTCCAGCTAAATTGCTAAGATTGCTGAACCACAAGTCAACTCTGAGCCACCCAACTTTCCAATTTTGAACAATTACTTTCCTGGAAATCAAGGGCAAGCTGAGACAAAATTATTGCAAGGACAGGATTTAATTATTTAAGTCCCTATTCCATCCTGTTATTCAAGACTGTCCAATGCCATAAGCAAAAAGTCCCAGCAACAGTATGTATGCAAAATAACACTGAGCCAAGTAACACCCTTTCTCCCATCACCTTTGGTTTTTCATTCTTGTCACAGAGTGTACCTCATCTACCAGAGAATCCTTTAGCTAACCTCATTCTTTTTTCATTTGTATCTACCACATTTTCCAGCAAATAGATGTTATATATGCATTTTTGTTGAATAAAGTGTGATCTAAGCTCCAGGACAGGTTTCATCATGTTAATTCTGACTTTACAGCAAATTTCAGCATTCTCCTAAATTAATAGCTGAAAGTTGCACTTAAAAAATATGTATATGAATCTATGCCACTATCATTAGGGGTTTTATACCACTCATGTTATGAAAATGTAGGAAACTCCATGCTATTCAGAATAGCTCACTGGGGCTTCCTGGAACTGATCAAGGGCCTTCCACATAGTCGGGAGATCGGGGGTCTACTCTTGACTCTGCTCAGAGTATTACCTTGGGGAGCCCCTCCACTCAGGACTCATCTCATTTTCCTGATCTACAAAATGAAAGGAATGACCTCTGGACTGCTACAGCCAAATAAACAAGGTAAATAGCATTCCACCAAATATATAAAATGGAAATGGAAATAAAAAAGTTTTTAACATGATTGAGCATCATATTATATTTCACTTTAAGTTAAAACTATCATTCAAGTGTTTACCATTTTTGTGATGGAAAGTTTTACATATGTAATTCCTAAATATGAATTTATAGTCTCTCTTTAAGTACATGAATTTCTTTTTAAGTTATAGTCACTGTCTTTAATTGATGAGGGAAATCAGAAACACTAAAAGTAAAAATTCCACATTTGTCCCAATTTTCCCCTTAACTCCTATCAAGATTATCCAAATATAAATATTTCTTTTAATTGGTAAAAATGCTATTATTTTCTGGACAGTTTCTTCAGCAAGAAAGTGACAATATAACCCTGTAAACACTATTCCTTTTCACTGCTGCTTCCTTGAACTAAATATTGAAGAAAACCACTACAGTATAACTTGTGAAAACCTATATTGCATATAAAAATTATCCCGTGCTGACAAACGTGGATTTATGATCAAATGAAAGCAAAAATGTACTAAAAGCTATTTAGCCAAATTCTGCACCAAGTTATTTCGGTGTGATTCACCTTGCAGCTTATTGGATTTGTGATTTTATCTCAGCATACCTCTAAAGAACAAATTGCCAATCTGGTATTTTTCTCTTAGAATAATGTATGGTATAACTCACTATGGCAAGCCAAATAGTTAACTTGTAATTTGGGGGACAGCTTATTCTTGCAACATTTTAATGATCATATATCTCCATCCCAAAATTAATCTGTTACCAGGTTAAATCACTCCAAATCCTTTCTTCCACAATCTGCGAGAGTAATTGCTGCTTCAGTTTCAATCATAGAGCAGTAAATCTACATTTACTTTTAGGCAGCTGGTTTATAAGTCCCTGGATATGCATAATTTCATAAAGTGATTGAAGTCATTTTGATATTATATCAATAGCAGCTTATCTATAGCATCAACTCCAAGCAATTAAAAAACATTCACATTTTATGTGTACCTTTTTCAAGTAGTTTGCCTTTGTAGACACAAAGGTTTTCCCCACCACAGTGCTGCTGATAAACTTTTATTTCATCCCGGAAGTCTGGATTATCAGAAGATAGGTGCACGTTTTTCCCCAAATAGATCATTGTAATAGCTGCATTACTATGCAAGGATGTTTTATGAATCCTTCTTGAATCCTGAAGTAAACAAAAAAATGAGGCTTATTAATTAATTACTTTCCAATCAGAGTTCTTACCTGACATTGTAAGACAAAGAATAAAAAAGGTTTTGAGTACCTACCAACAAAATATATAAATAAAGTGTCAATTTAGAAAGGCACAAAAAGTCAAGCCCATTGCAAAATAAATACTCCTAAATAACATATACGTTTTGGCTTTGTATTTTTAATGTAAATACTGGGGATTTGGATAGAGTTTGTCATTTTTTACTTTAAGTGCAAGTGCGTAGGGAAGTGTGTCAGGGTGTGTGTGTGTTATATAGAGTAAAATTTCAATGATGCCAAGAAGAAACTTTTGGCTCTTTTAGCTGGTTCTCCAATAAAAATCCAAACCATTGAACTAAGTAAATATTAGTAACATCATTTTGTTCGAATGTGAGCTGCCTTAGAGATTTAGCAATAGTTTTTGTCATTGACTGCTTTATCTTCACAGCTGAGCACTGACAACATATCCTTCCCTGGGCTTATTCCATCTGAGAGGGAGATGCACGTGTTTGAGTTCTTCTACAGTCATTCTGAAGATTAGGGGTCATCAATATTTTGTGCTTGGGACTATCCAGTTTCACAGAGACATTTAGTTGACTGAAAAGCCAATATTAATATTGCTTATAGTATCAAAACAATATACCCAAAAAGTCTCTAAAATTACTATATAAACCTATTTGATATGTTATGGCATTGCCCAATTTAAATTATTTCTAAAATATGCAGCAAATGTGCATGCCAGAAATTAAATGTTCTAGGCATTGACTCCTAATTAATTTTTTGAAATATTTTCATAATAATAAATGAACATAATGTTTGCCTAACCTCTAAGAGGAAGAGGAGGAAGTAGAAACAGAAAAAAAGGAAAGGAGGAAGAGGCAGAGAGAAATAGGAAAGTCTTGGAGGGTTGAAAGACTTTAAGACGGCCTAAGAAGAAAACTGTAGGCCTCTAGAGCTGTACACAGGCCAGACTTTGCTTCTCACCTACTTCACTTTCCTAAAAATCAATTCTAAACTGGACAAAAAATGTTCAGCAACCAACTTTAAGTGTATCCAAGGCAGTAATCTGAGTTGATTCCATCAAATTATAGATGCATGAGAAGCATGCATTTTCTAAAGAATAACAAAGCTGCCACAAAAAGTTTTGAAGGAACTCTAAAATATTTCCATCCCTAAATTCATCCTCTTCCACTTCAGATAGTTTTTTTTTTTTTTTTCCATTTCATTCTATTTCTCTGAAGCAAAAACCAGAGGAAAGAAATCTGATGGAATGAAATTCTGCTAGGAACAGTCTGAAAGTATAAATGAGGAGAGAGTCCAAGTTTTAAAAATTCAAGCAAATTTTCTTGCCTCTTGGAAGGAAGAACTCTCTCAAATAAAGAGATAATCAACAGTCATATTACAGGGGCATCAAGAGCCATGAAAGTAAATCAGCAAACTGGATAATTTCTTGCAGATTAGAAACATCTCCCTGAATCACAATTGAAGCAAAGGGATGATGGCAGATCTGGCTCCTCCTTGGAAAATCATAATCCCATGTTTCCTCTTGCCTGGGTAACTGTGGAGCTGTGACATGCCTGTGTGCAGCCAACTGCACAATCAGCGGACCTCAGGCAAATCCAACTCCAAGCTGCGCCCAGCACCTTAAATGAAGTGTTTGATTAAATACAAACATCCCCCTTTTGTTAAGCAATACTTTCTGAAGCAGCATGGATTTAGAGGTAGCCCTGTGAGTTTGTAGGAGATAAGCACTATATAAATACAAGATAATACTGGGATTAGAGCCAGGGAAAGACCTGGGTCATATGTATGCAATGAGAAACTGGAAGGAGAAACTTTTAAAGAGAAAATAAAGGAAATGGCAGCCCTTTATCCTTTATTCACATTGCTTTCTGCTAAAACGTACTTCTGATAGTAATATCTCTTTTCTCTTGGGTCTCATTATTCCATTATCTTTAAAAATTACTCCCTGATTATTGCCACCAAGTAAATTTTTCTGGGTTCTAACAGAAAGCCCAAGTGACAGCTCATGATTAAATACATGCACTAAGAAATAAACAGTTGTTTCTTTCAGTTGACTGAATTGCCTCTATACTTACCATCTTGCAAAGATAAAATGACCTCAGACAGGTGAAATTTTAACAAGGTTTCATGGCCCTTTCTGCTGTCCTCAAGTAAGTATGAAAACCTTCCATGAAAATTCAGTTTCATTTGGAGAACAGGAGCAAGGCCTCAAGCCGCTACACAACTAGCTTATCTTTCTGACTTCCTTCACCAGTTGCTTAGGAATTTTCTTCTCATTTCTTTTCAGATTTCTCAGGCAAGTACAATTGAGCTGATAAATAAATAGCAAGCCCATTGAGTGGTTAACCCACCAGCCATTATATATTTGCAACATTTGGCATTCAATTGATACATTAAGTTTTCACTGAAATCTCCTTTTATCCATGCCCAAGCCTGTGTGAGAGGTAGATTAAAGAGACAGTACAGGTGTCAAAGTGACTGTTCTCTTTGATAGGGTTGGGCAGTAACTCCTCTTCATCTACTTGATGAAGCCCTGGTGAATTCTGGACATCAAGTAGGGTGACCGTAAAATTTATCATCCAAACTTGGACACACAGTGAAAGAAGTGTTATTAATTATTACGAAATGAGGGGGAAGGGCAGAATTTTGAACTATTCCAGGAAAAATGATAGGTATGGTCACCCTCCAAATTAGTCTTCCCACTTTTAGTCTGATATTCCTCAAAATATCCCTCCTGTTGGAAATCAAAGTGATCTATTGTTATTAAATAGATCATGTTAACGTCCTTCAGTGATTCCCAATATTCATGGAATGAGTTCCAACATTCCTCAGACAACATAAAATGTGCTATATTCTCTAACTCCTACTATCTCCCAGTGATTGCAATTTCTCATGCTAGACATTTAAATGTCTAGCAACTGGACTGATTGTAGTGGTCCTAACGCTATCAACTACTTTTAATCTCTAAGCCTCTGTTTATATGAATCACATGATATTGGAACTATTTCCTGTATTATCTCTCTCTCAGTACATAAGGATAATGTCCTGCCCATCTTCATGCCATCAGTAAAGCCAGTGCAGATGCTTTGTAATGACCTAATAAACAGTGATCCGACAGGACACAGACATGGAACAATGAAGCATTTTATATTCTGTCCTTTCCATATTCTGATAAAGCTACGGTAGGTTGGTTTCACCCGAAATAGGAAGCTTGCTACAATTATAGTAACTCAATAGGTACCAAAACAAGAAAACTGATTCACAGTGTTCTGTTAAACCAAATGCCAACTTTGCTGACTATTCCTTTATAAAGATTGATACAAAACCAGCCTGATCATAAAGAGTAGCAATCCCCATGTTGATGCTGGTGGCCCTAGGGAGAGAAAATCTGACAGAAGCCAGAGGAAGAGTGTTCATATCCTAAAGACTAGGAACTGGTTGTATGAAAACTTCACATCGCTACATTGCAAATGTTCTTCTCGTTCTCTTCTCTTTCTCACTGGTTTTGCCTCCCATCTTTGCTTTTAGTATGCTTTCTTTTTTCTTTTTCATTTTTATCTGGGCCAGTTTTCTTACTACCATGTAAACCTTACCTCATGCTTATTCCTAACATGCCCAGAAACACCTCAATCCTTACAGAGACATCAGAGCTCTAGATTTTCAGGATTTACCTCACCTATTCCTTCCCATAGAAATCATAGTAAGGGCTCCTGCTCACATATTCTTTCTCACTCCCTCTGCTTCTTAACCTACCCTGGTGCTTCCTTATGTGGCTCTGTATAATGTTGTGTAAGGGTTGTTATTATTATTATTGAAGATGGGGTCTTGCTCTGTCACCTAGGCTGGAGTGCAGTGTGTAATCATAACTCAATACAGCCTCAAACTCCTGGGCTCAAGCGAACTTCCTGCCTCAGCCTCCTTAGTAGCTAGGATTACAGATGAGTGCCACCATGCTTGGCTAATTTTTATTTCTTTATTTATTTATGTATTTATTTTAGAGATAGGGACTTGCTTTGTTGCCCAGGATGGTTTTAAACTCCTGACCTCAAGTGATCCTCTTGCCTCAGTGTTTCAAGTCACTAGGATTACAGATGTGAATCACTACACCTGGCCCAGTCATGGTTAATTTTACCTATCAATTTAGCTGGACTTCAATGCCCAGACTGGCAAACATTATTCTATATGGATCCATAATCAATGCACATGGTGTGTCCTCTCTTCTTGGGAACTGTGACAATTTATCTTTTTGATAGCAATTGTCTCTTAATCTATAAGTCTCACCATACCTGAATAATTTTTAAAAACCCACACTTTAAAATAGACTTCCAGAAGGATATACCTACTTTCATTAAGAAAGGGTCAACTAGTGAAGGTTTTAATCAGTAGAGGAGCATGTTGAGAGTTTTTCCATAATGTTTAATTATATTTCATTGCTTTTTACTCTTTCTTTCCTTTTTTAAGAGCCTTTAAAAGATGCTTTGGTGAATGGTAGCCATAAAATGAAAGATGATTCTATGTGTAAATTAGTCACAAGAGCCATCTCACCTTAAATGAATCTTTTCCATATCTAAATAAACTAAACTTGAGTATTAATGTAAAAGTGTGTGATTCTCCCCACTGAGCCATTTTTACTCTATGCCTAAAGATCAGGGCTAGAGTCAATGCCAACAGACATCTAGATGAAATCATGTGTGAAGATGACTACATCTTGAATAGAAAATAAGCATAAAGACTGAAGCCTATACGAATGGCTAGATTTATGGGTGAAGGTGAAAAAAGAATCACAAAGGAGTAGGAGAAGAGGTAAAAGGAGACAGCGAGGAAGCATGAAAGCAGAATGCCATGGAAGGCAAGAGAGGAGAGGTTTAAGGAAGAGACAATTAATAGCCTAAAATTCTGCAAAGAAACATCATCATAATAAATTTAAAAATACTAAGATGGTAGAAATAAGTCTAAATATATCTCCAAACAAAGTAAATATAATTGGACTAAACTCATTTGTTAATAGAACAGAGATTCTCAGATTGAATCAAACACAATCCACCCATATGCTATAGAAACACATTTTTTTTTTTAGAAACACATTTAAAGCCTAAAGTTTAAACCTAAATATACCAAAAGACTGAAAGTGAAAATGATGCATACACGCATATGCACACACACATACTTATGTGTATATTCAAGGTTCACCCTTGAGCATCATGGGTTTGAACCACATGGGTTCACATATATGCAGACTTTTTTCAATAAATATATTGGAAAATTCTTTGGATATTTACAACAATTTGAAAAAAACTTGAAGCAAACTGTATAGGCTAGAAATATTTTGAAAATAAGAAAAAGTTAGGTATGTTATGAATGCATAAAACATATATAAATGCTAGTCTGTTTTATCATTTACTACCATAGAATACATACAAATCTATTATAAAAAGTTAAGATTTATTGAAACTTAACACATACACTTAACAGATAATGCATGGTACCATTCACAATCAAGAGAAATGTAAACAAATATAAAGATGCAGTATTAAATCATAACTGTATAAATTAACTGCAGTACATACTGTTCTACTGTAATAATTTCACTGCCTCCTTTTCTTGCTATTGTAGTGAGGTCAAGTGTTGTGAGTATACACTTAAAATGTGATGTGCCGCTAATCGTGTCTACATGAGCAATTCATCTCTTTAGAAAATCATTTGTCACAGTAAAACGTAATCTCTTGACGTTTGGGATATTTTTCATCATGTTTAGTGTAATATCATAAACACTGAATAACATCATGAAACGCAATAAAGTTTCACTGATGATGCTAGAAGCACTCCAGGAAGCAAAGTCATGACATTGCAAGGAAAGGTTGAATTGAAGTCTCCAGCTGGGGTTGCTCACAGGCGGACAATGCATTTTGTAAACAGAACACATAACTTATGGTATTGATAAATACAGTACAGTACTATAAATGTATTCTCTCTTATTTATAGTTTTCCTAATGTTTTCTTTTCTCTAACTTAATTTTGTAAGAATACAGTATATAATGTCTATAGCATGCAAAATATGTGTTAATTGAATTATGTTATTGATAAGGCTTCCAGTCAACAGTAGGCTATAAGTAGTTAAGTTCTGGTTGAGTCAAAAGTTTATACACAAATTTTGAATTGTGCAGGGGAATGACATCACTCACCCTCATGTTATTCAAGTGTCAACTCTCTATATACGGTAAACACACACACACACAAAGACACACACACCACACACACACACACTAAAGAAAATAAAAAGTATTATTAGACAAAACAGATTTTTAAGACAAAAAGTAATATGACAAAAAGGATTCCCTCACCAGTAAGATAAAAATAAACTGAAGTCTGAGAGCATATAAGATTTTCTAAACATTTACAAAACAGAACTTGGCATAGACAGATTGACAAATCCATAATTACAGAGAATGAATTTTCATTATAACTCAAGAATTAGAGACCAAGCACATACAAAGTCTATGAATGTAAAAATATGAGTAACATAATTAAATTTATCTATCGAAACCCTATAGAACCCTGATTTCAACATTTAAAGAATACAATTCTTTCCTAAAACTGGACATATATTAGCTCACAAACCAAGTGTCCACAAATACCAAGGACTTAAAATCATACAGACCAAGAATAAGATGCATTCTAAAAGCAGCATTCAGTGAACACAAAAGAGTTCTTAGAGTTGAAACATGGCAGAAGAAAAAACTCAGTAGAATGTGTGGAGATAAAATTGAAAAAAAACCTCTCAGCAAGTAGAACAAAAAGACAAAGAAGTAGAAAGTAGGAGAGAAAAGCTAAGAATCTTAGAGCACCAGTCTAGTAGTTCTAACATTCCCAAAATAGAGATTCAAAAAAAAAAAATAATAAAGAGAGAGAGAACAGAGATATTTTTTTTTTCTTGGGGGAAAAAAAAAAGAATAAGTCAAACTGAAGCCCTCTGACTCAGGAGACAGACATGAAAAGGTCTGTCAAAGCCAGGATGCCTGCTGACACCACGCTGTGCTTCATGGGAACCCGGCTCAGATGCTTATTTGTGCTTCACTTGTCATGACCCTGGGATGAAGAAGCTGCTGCTCCCTCCTCCATGCCCAGCTACAGAACCACATTCCCCTGATCATTTTCCTCCTGGACATCCCATGTTTGACTCACACTAGGACCTCACCAGATACCTTGACACACATGTGACCTGGCCACTCTGACTTCCTCAGAAGGGGGTTTTAAAACTCTTTAAAAAACCAAACCCAGACTGTGATCTAAATATTCTACTCAGCTTCTTTTCTTCTGGAAATAGTGTCCTTTCATTGCAATGCTAGGTTTGAGCTTATTTTTGAAATTTTATGCATAAGTGATCGAACTCTAAAGAAAAGCAGGGAAATAGTTCACATAAAAGTTAGTGTGGTGGTTGCTCTGGGAAAAAGTAAAGAATGATGGGGCAGGAGAAAGGGGGCTCCTGCATAATATGATAGTAGAGTTCAATGTGAAGATGTAGTGAGTGCATGGTGCTTGCTTGGTTATTGTTGTTGAACTTGCTCATATAGATAAGGCTTTATACATTCTAATGGCTCATGAGACATTTAGACTTGTTTTTTAAAGAGCATGAACAGGTAGAGCATATCACAGTAAGACATTTTAACATCCAAAAATCAAATCCTACCACCAAGTGTTTGGGAATGATGAGTAAGTCACTGGTTTTGCTAAGTGTGAGCCACACCTTTTGAGAGCATGTTCATTGGCCAAATGGAAACCAATGCCAGCATGCAGAGTGAAAAATCAAGATACTGGTTGTGGTCAATTCTGTTATTGTTCCAAATATTCACTTCCCTTTTCTGTGAGAGACTGATACTTCCTACTCCACTGTGGTCAGGCTTGCTCAAGAACTTGTCAAATGACATTCAAGTGTAAGTGACATGTGTCACTCCTGAGTGGAACCTTAAAAGCATGCTGTGGTTCTGTTGCCTATAAGGCCGGCAAACCCAAGACTTCTTCATTCTGAGCTGTTCCTCCAGTCTGAGTCTCAGAATTACAGCTGACCAACTGTAGGTAAGACTGTGAGCAAGAATATTCTTGTAAGTTGAGTTGCCTGGGGTTGTTAGACTAAGCTTCAGTAAACTGCTCTATAGAGAACTCACTAATGAAGAACAGGATAAAACAGAAGTCTAAGGTTACAGCATCTGAGGAAAGAATTTGACTCCCTTATCTAAGGCCTGGGTATGTTGAGAGACAGAGACAAATATTAGAGGAAGGTGGCAAATCCACATTAGAGAGGATGACAGATAGTATGAGGTACCACTAACAGTGGAAGTGTATCTGATCAAAGACACAGGGCAAGGGTGGGCCTTGGGGATGAAAGAGAAAACACCCTGTCAAAGACAGCCACAAAAGGAGAGAATTGGTAAAAGTAGAATTGAAAAAAGGAAATCTGAGCAAGAAGAAAAAAGATGGTCCCCACTTTTTGAGATTAGAAGTAAGTATAGCTACTGAGAGTGAGATGTGGACGTGGGGTGAATAAGGTCCCTGAAGGTGAGTTTGGTTTTAAAGAATCAATGTGCATGCTGGCACTTCACTTCCTCATGGTCAGTCAGTGAAATGTTGACCCAGATTTGCCAATCACAAAACTTTGCTATTGGTTGTATATTTAACATAATAAAAATGAAGAGGTCTTTGCTTTCTTACCAGCTTGTAGGTGTATAAATTCCAACTGGCCTTAGAACTGTTTCTTCTATCAATATTTTGAGAAAATGAGTAAAACAAACTATAATCTTTTTAAAGAACACAGAAAGAAAATTTTTCTAGGTATAATACAGCAATTTGCCATAAATTGTTAACCTGTATTTTGTTTTTTAGGTATATCACGGTTTCTGAATTTTTACGAAAGAGATGTTAAGATATTTATAATAACCTGTGATTAAATAGGTGAATTTAAGGAAATAAATGATTTGGAAAGAAGTATTGTTCACATTAAATTTGACCACAAGAGTTGTTAAATCTTTTATTATTAATTGTGCTAAACTCATTATGCAACTGAACTATTTAAGCTTTGCTTTCATATTCATTCAGACTTACTTATAAAATTGTATTTCTTTCCACACAATGTTTTTTGCAAGCAGTTTCCTCCAAATTCTTTCACTACAAATCTAGAAATCTAATAGTGCAATGTAATTTGTGCTAAATTAATAAAAAGAAAAATTTGTTCCATAATCACCCTGGTAAAAAGAGGTTCTAAGCCATTTGGAGCAGTGGTTGGATGAAATCTTCTCCTTCTCCATGTTTCAGATCTATTTTCTCTTGTGATTTTCCCATTTGGGGGAGGTGGAGGAGGAATAGGCATCATGTAGCTGTTAATGTTTGGAAGTTGATATGAATTCATTCTCTGTGAATTGCTTATGTAGTTCCTGAACTTCATCACTGCCTTCTTGCCCTGTAATCATATTTCATCATGTAAGAACCAATGAAACAGAATCAGTGACTCAATGTAACCCAAAATTAAAGACAAGTCTATATGATTACATTGCATGCAAACACAACTGATACCAATAGACAAACTCAAAACACTCCAGATTGTTGAAAATGACACTTTGTAGTATCTGCAGCAAATTAAATATTCATAAAATTTTAATCTTATGTGATTTTTTTTAACTAACATAAAGTGATGACATTCTTATAATACTTTTGGAGTTTTTCTTCAACAATTAGTTAAACTCGATAAAATTAAACAACTTAAAATTAATAAGTTTGAAGTGTTGTGCTTCAAAGTAGAGCTTAGTACACTTAGCAATAGGAAATTAGTACTTCTTTTCATATTCCGGTTTCAGGCATCTAGATATGAGAATATCCAGGGTTTGCAAAGCTGTAAACAAACTGGCATGTACTGTTTAGCATAAATTACTCATGTACTATTTAGAATAAATTATTACCACATTTACAGAGGAAAAAATAAGATATTTATCAAAATTTTAAGGTACATACCCTTTGACCTAGAAATTCTAGTGTTAGGAATAAATCCTGCACAGATAACTATACAAGTTCACTAATATAAATGTGTATAAGGATACATGTACACACATGCACACACACACTTCCTTATATATTAGGAAGTTAGTTGAAAAAAATGTAACATCATACAAGTCCATCAATAAGAGAATGTTTAAATGTTGCTTTGTTCATATGATAGATCTCACCAGATTCATGTTAAAAAAAAAAACATGAATCTATTTATTTTGAAATAAAAAGATTCATATGGTATGACCATAAATTTCTTTTAAATAATTTGTGTGTGAATTCTGATTTAAAACAATAATGACTGAAAAAATTTGAATGTGGGGCTGCCTTCAGGCATATACTTTCATATTGTTTTAGAGTTTAGTCAGCATGTATTACCTTATTCATTAAAAAACACCAAAGGCATAATCAATAATTACATTTGTCAGTTTTAAGTGAGTCACTGAATTTTCACAAATTGGTAATTTTTGTGTATCTGAGGTAGTTTTCCTAATTTAAGGAATATTTAAGTATGTTTATCTAGTTTGCTTATACACTATAAACTAATATTGTACTTATGTTTGTTTATACACTATAAACATATTGTACTTATGTTTGTTTTTAAATTTCTAATTAATTTTTTGCTAACTTAGTTTGTATTTTAATATGCCTATTGCTGAACAATTATTTTGTATAAGGGGAAGTTATTCCCCAAATATGTGTCATTGCTAAATGAGCAAAAGGAACTTATGAGTGAAGGGCATTGATAGCCCATATTTTGACTGAAAAAAATTCTACTAACAGCAAGAGATTTAAGGAGATATTCACCAAGGAGTTTACAATTGTTAGAATGGTTGATATTGCATTGTGTCATGCTCTATCTTTTCTTTTCTCATATTTTCCAATTTTTCTGTAATGGGGTATATTTATATTGTAATAAAAATTAAAAATAAGTAAAAAATAATAGGAAAAGGAAAATCAATGAATCTAGAACTTTTTGTGTTTAGGGATTTAAAACAAAATTATTTCTGAGTAAGTATCAGTCAATTGCATGCCTTGCTTGGAAATGACTTACCAATTTTTCAAAAAACTTAACATGTTGGTTTTCACCTTACTGGTTTTAGCTTGACAGCATTTTGGATATCTTTTCATGCCAGTGCAAGGAATTCTACTTTATACTTTTTAAATGTTCTTGACTATAACATAACACATTAAAAGAATACCTTATTACTTAGATAACTTCTCATTGTTCACCACTGCAAATACAAAAGATTATTGAATCTACTTCTTTACACACATGTGTGTATTCCTAGGATAAATTCCTACTTGTTAAAATGCTTGAGCATGTTCATTTAAAATGGTGATATATATTTTCATATTGCCTTTATGAATGCCTGTACCAATTTCTACTTCTACCAATAATATATGAGAAACTCTCCTTCTAAAGACATTCATTTTCAATACAGTCATTATTATCTCAACTAGTCTGTTTTTGACCAAATCACTTCTTCCTAAATTAAAGACTCTAACTCCTGCTACTTAGCAAAGTTCAACTTACTTATATCTGTTGTACCTTCAAGTGCTTTCCAAAAGTACATACCTCACTCTTGTAAAGAGCAATAAGAATGTATTGGGTGCTCACTACATGCTCAGCAATGATGCAGAATACTATTCTTCTTTAAGAGTTTCTTCTCTGATTTTATATTAAATCATTTTTGTCATCAATGCCATTGAAAAAAATTCCAGGTAAAAACATAATCATATAATGTAATGCTCACAGACAAAATATATGTCTGTGAGCATTACATTATAAGCTCCAATAAGTTAGTTTTGTCTGTCTTAATGCCTAAAGCAGTACCTAGGCCATAGTAAGTGCTCAATAAATATTTACTAAATGAAAGTGAGTTTAGCTAGTTGACATTATTGTGGAATTTATCTCAGTCTTGTCAGCACATGAAAGCTACCATTAGCTGCCTGTCCCTCAATAATTTATGCCCCAAAAACTTGAAACAGGAAAAGGCCCTGTAAAGATTCAATTAGTAAATCCATCCAGTGGCAGAGAATGGATTTGAAAAATCACATTAAAGAAAAACAAAAACTGCTCCCCAGCCAGCAGAGCTTAAATAATACCTAATTGAAGGTGTTCACATATCTGATGGGACAATGTACTGATCAAAGTAGAATTAATAATTATGGAACTTAAAAAAGAATATAATCAACTTGGCAAGCATGGAAAGCACCCATCTGAATACGATCTAGGAAAGAGGAAATTCTACCTATTGGACTTTGAATTTTTCTAGTCCTAATGGCAAAGTTATCACTGGAGGATACAGAGGGTTTCAGCCAAAGACGTTGAGTTTTCTGGTACCTTTGGCTAGCGCATTCCCAAGATGAGATGGGAGTATCAGGCCACCTAAGCCTGATGGAATTAACATTCTATTGCACTATATACCCTCATTCTGATTCCATGCTCACTAGGCAACATTCTCATTGTGATTTGGCTTCTCATATATGTGTGCCTACTGGGGGAGAATGCACTTCCTCTATAAATTTTGACCATGGTATCTTTTGGTGAATAAATGGCCCCCGAATATCATTGAGTTTCCTATTTTCATTTATTATCTAGAGAAAAATGAGCTTATTTTGAGTTCGTTTAGTTAGCCTGGGCAATCTCACAAGATGTGACTATTCCTGGACCCTGGTTAAAACAGGAAATCTCTGGGCCTTCAAAATGGAGATCAGAGCCTAGAAAGTTTCAAACTAGTTAACATATTACTCAACAAGTTTCTGCCTAACTGTAAGCAGTCATCCCTAGATGAAGCACCACCACTTTTGGAAAATTCCTCTTGATTTCTGGAAAACTATTTTTCAATTAACTGAAAATAAGGTTTCTGAAAAGTTTCCGGAAAACTATTATTCAATTAACTGAAATAAGAAGCTGAAAAGCACATGAAGTGGATAAGATAGTATTATTTTTAGAGTTGTATTTATACTTTTACTGTGAAACACAATAATTTGTCTGAATTAATTACTCAGTGTCAAAGTTATTTGTTAATTAAAAATAAAAATATGTTAATTTCATATCGGTGTTTCCTAAGAAATGGAAGATAATAATTCCTTTGAACATAGTGACGACCATACTTATGTCTCAGGTTTCTTCATAAGTTGGCAAAATTTTCTTCATGTTAGAAAAATTAACTATACCCTCCCTAATTAGTGAATGTACTAATTCTTCCTCCTTATTTAAGCAATTCACTTTTCATGGTTACCATACTTCCTTCTTGTGATCTATTAAAATAAGTGAAAATTACCTGAGATATAACCTTGAAAGTGAAGCAAAATCAAGCCCTTATGTATGATTAACTCAGCATTTTTTAAAGATGGACATTCTTTTCCTTCTATATTCAACCTTCTAAAAGTCAAACTTGAAGCAATTTCATACACTGATGGGAAACTAAGTCGGCATGCAAATGCAAACCTATTCTTGGAAAGTTTAATTTTCTAGGTTTCATGCATATAAAATTTGGAAGAAGTCAACACTAGGTCTTTTCTGATAGAAGTCATACTTGGTTAAGAAAAGTTTTCCCCTTGTTTTTCAATCAGCCTTTCAAACTAATGAGAAATCACCATACATTATTACCAATCTATTCCTTACTTTTTTTGCTCAATGACACAAATTACAGGCCTTCCCATAATAAGACATAATTAATCACAAGTATGTAGTAAATGTTTCATACATACACAATATAATTTTTGCTGTGTAGATTATAATCAAATATAATACCTTGAAAACTGTGATAATCTATAACATTCTACTCAAAAATTAAAATATATTTATTGACAAAAATAACATTTACCCCAATGGGAAACAGAACTTCATTTTCCAGCAATGAGGTTTTTGATCTGGACCTTGAAGTTACCTTTGGAACAGTTTCTACTGCAAGATTACTGGGAAGAGGCTGTAATTGAGTAGGAGGCTGCATATTTCCTGGAGCAGTATATGGTCGAGGGGCTGTCTAGACAATTAGAGAAAAAAATTCCATTTATATTAGGACCTTGACATGTTTCCAGAACCAATTAATAACCCAATAAATTGCCTAGAGTAATTAATGGTGCCTTTTTACTGAACAGATTAAACTTTAATTATGTCCTTCCATTATACATACCCTTATGACCCAAAGTATTTCTTAAAACATATGGTGTTGAAGTCCTCTACATAACTAAATGCCACAATTATAGAGTATGCTAGACAAAGGAGATGTCCTCCTTTACATTCCCGTATTTTTATTCATACTGCAAACTTGCTGACAATAATTTATGCTGTTCATACAATGGCTTTGCTCAATTTAATGTTACATTGAATAATGTTCCTATTTTAGGGGTCTAAAAGGATATTATTGGAATGGACTCATTTCTGTCTAAATGTCTTCAATATAAACTCTACTCTGAATCTTTTAAGCCTTAAGAGTGTTGCCGAAGTAAAAGCAGACAGTATAATTCAAACAAAAGAGGAAAGGAAATGCATTGCAATTTATTCAATGGCATCCTTGAAATACTAGGAAATCAAAAACAAAAAATTGTAACTGGCAACTTTGGAAACTATTATATAAAATAGGATATGTTTTTCTACACTAGATATTTTCCATTTGTCCCTCTAGATCTACTGCTCACCTTCTCCGGCCCGACCTAGACCCTGGGAGTCACTCCTTTCGGGACTATGCAAACTAAGCTCAGGATTGCAGCTGGAGTCCACCAGTGATAGGCATTAGCAGGAGATGAGATTAGGCTCTTTCTTCTCCTTGACTCACCCTGCAGGGTCATAATGGGCCAGCTGGGTCCCTCTACAAAAAACCACGGCTGGGAAGCCCTCCCCCAGCTACAGGTACTTGCAGCTGGTTCTAGTGCCCAATTCCTCTGTTCCCCCATTAGGCCTGGGTGCTATGGCTTCTGATATGCTGTCCCTAACAGTCTTAGCATCCCTAGTTGGTTCTCCTTGGCCCTGCCTACTCCTTTGTAAATAGTTTATTAAACACTTTCTAATTATACTATTTGTTTGAGCCATCTGTCATCTGCTGAGCCCACTGACGGATGAATTTTCTAATCAAAAATGTACTGCAGCAAATATCAAAAGTGCCAGTATAGTGCATTAGAAGTGCCTTTTGGGGCATTGAAAGAATATTGTTAGTTTAGTATAAAGATTAGCAATGTGGCTGGGTGCAGTGGCTCACACCTATAATCCCAAAAGTTGGCCAAGGTGGGTAGATCACTTGAGCCCAGGAGTTGCAGATCAGCCTGGGCAATATGGTGAAACCTTGTCTCTACAAAAATTAGCTGGGTGTGGTGGCGTGCACCAGCTACTTGGGAGTCTGAGGTAGGAGGTCACCTGAGCCCAGGCAGGTCAAGGCTGCAGTGAGCCGGGACTATGCCACTGCACTTCAACCTGGGCCACAGAGTGGGATGCTGTCTTAGAAAAAAAAAAAAAAAAAAGATTAGCAATGTGTCAAAAGTAGAATAAATGAGACTTTTGACCCAACTGTTCTAACACAATAGCAGAGAGCCTATCAAGAATAGTACCTACATATTTGGGTGGGAGAGTGAGAAGGATGGTATGTAAGTGACTCATGATTAAGGTTTAATATATCGACTTCAAAGAATGGTGAACAAGAAGTGTTCAGCTCTGGAAAAGTGTGGGTATATACATTAAAAAATGATGATAAGGCAGCTCCTACTACCAAAAACCAGCCTTAGAAGTTAGGTTTGAAGCATGTCCTATGTTGCTAAATCTCTGATTTTATTAAATCAATATTTATTTATTGAATTCCCACCACAAAAACCATGACAACATAAAAAGTAAATTTTAACATCTAATGGCAACACAAAACAATTAGTGTCAAATGAGCCACGCAAATACTGCCAAACAGACAATAAACTACCTGGGAACAGAACTTAGAAGCAAAAATTCTTAGGATCTTTAGGGCAAGCCAAAGAGGCTAATAAAATTTAAAGTTTCACAGAAGCAGTTAGATTTTATCCAAATGGTAAACAAGAGAAGAAAATGGACAAGCAGAAAAGAAGGATGAATTTGAACATCCAACCCGGAAGAGAGCTGGTTGTGAGCAAGACATGGGAAGAGTAGCAAAGATAATATTCTCTAATATCTGTTTTCTTTTCTTCACTAGTAACAGAATTTTTATCTGGGAACATGGTTACTATGAATAAATATGATATTTCCCAGCACCCCTTGCAACTCTTTGTAGATGTATGCCTCAGTTTTGGCCAAACAAGATGTGAGCAGAAGTGACACATGAGACTTCCAGATCATATGCTTAGAGAGGATATATGCTCTCATTTTACCCCTTCCCTCTGGCTGAAATATACAAATGGTGATATACCATCTTGGCTTTTGTGGATAAAAGCAACACTTTAAGTTTGGCAGATCAGCAACATACAAGGAGTCTAGGCTTCTGATGACTTCATAGAGCTGAGCTAGCATGCCAGCTGAGACTCATGTATATGCTGGGATGGGGAGGGGGCCGTTTTGTTTTTCCCAGTGTTATTATATTTATGGTTCCCATACACAAACCTATATCACGACCAATATGAGAAGCCAAGTGAATTGACTAAAGCAGCATTTAGTTTAAAGAAATAAAAGATAAGCCTGCATGGACCAAAGGTAAAAGGTCTTAAAACCCACAAAGAGAAATTAGAATAAAGGTTTCTGAACAACGGAATCAGATCACCCAAAAGAATTCTTTTGAACTTTGTAAAACAAACATGCCTCAAGACTCTCTCCTGTCAAATAATGCGACTGAACAAAAAACTTGAACAATCTATTGTAGAAATTTAAGGGAACAGTTTACTGCAAACTAGCACATGATCTATTGGCTGTTGTGCTCTAAATTTTACTTCCCTACATTTGCATATAGATATCATTCAGTTAGATGAATGTGGCAGTCAAATGTTTAACTGATTACATTTAACTCCAAAAACAAATCTGCACCATTAACTAACAGCTGTGAGCTACAAATTGTTGTAGTTCACATCAGAAGCCACCTTAAATTCGTTATATTTTAAATTGTGTGTAATATATTTTCTTGGAATAAACATGGCACTGTAGCTTAACATTCTCAAAACCATACCAGAATAAGAATTGAAATAACTGCCTGGTGATCACTCAGCTTAGCTATTTCTAATTCTTAGTAGAAGATCTGTAGGGGTCAATGTTCCAAGCATAAGCAGAATTAGTTGAAATGATTTTTCATGGTTTTAATGGGAGTGGTACAACTAAAAATCTGTATACTGTTTTGAAAATTTAGGTTACCAAGGGCACTAACATTGTATTGGATGTTTTCTTGTTCATTTAAGAAAGTTACAAAAAGAAAAAACATCAATGGCAATATCTCAAAAGGATTATTACCTTTATCTCAGGGACACTTGGAGATCGTGAGACAGATTTAAAGAATATGTATCCAGATTGGAAAAAAAGGGGGGTGAGGAGGATTTGGATTTCTGTAAAATGGAAACTATTTAATTCCAAGATCACAACAGGTATCCCTTAAGGTGCAAAAGCACCATCAGGGCTGGCCACGTGAAGAATCCTGGCTTACCAGAGAGAAAGTTTTTTGAGGCTGGTGTCAGTGTTTCCTGTAATTTTAAAATTACCTTTTCACTCCTACAACATTAAGATCTGCTGGATGTCTCATAAACTATTTATTGAGGGTGTTCAGCTGGAAAATTGAAAAGAAAGCCTTTCAAGGATTTTTCCTCTCTGAACCAGGTGGGAAGACAGAAAACAGCACTTGATTATTTCTTTTGTTTCACTCAGGTTAAGCTTTTGAGAGTCTAGTGAATTTGCCATCCAGTAAAAGAATATGTACATATACATGTTCAAATCAAACCTGGAAATAGGGTGACAACAAAGGAAAGACAGTTGCTTTTCATCATCTGAGCTGTTCATCAAGAAATGTCAAAACATATTTACCCTTTGAAAAATGTCAAAGGCTTAACGCTATATGTGATGAACCTACTTCAACAATCTGTGAAAGCATTGCAATTTCTCCATAAATGTTTTGCAATTCAGAAAAAGTTCATGCTAACAAGGAAATATATTAAGCTACACAAAGCAAGAATGAAGATATAATCAAGCAATTCATTTACAACTTAAACCATCAACCTCCAGCAAATGTGTTACAAATCTTTTCCTGTATCGATATTATTTCAAGGTACTTTACCTTTCCTCAAGCAAATACCACCTTTAGGTTAGAAATGAATCAACCTGGAATAAAATATCAGTGCTTAGTTTCTTCAGATAGAATTTCTGCACATTTAATTATTTTTATCTTAGAGTATGTGCAGACTCTTAATAAAAGAAGCTCAAATGTTAGTATTTAGCCCAATATGCTGTATGGTGCCACTGAATTTATACAGATAAGCTGGAAGTAGAGGGAAGAGCAAGAACAAAATCCAGAGGTCAGAAAATATAGAATATGTATAGAACAACTAGTGGTTCAATTTTTCTGTATTGAAGGGTGCTAAAGAGTAATCATGCAGAAAAAAATGGGAATAACTAACCTGAGGTTCTATGGTTTAGAGTCTTAAATGTCACTTGGGAGTTTGGGTTTTTCTAAAGAGAATACAGGCCAGGGAAAGTATTTAGATATATAAGTAACATAAGTAATCTGCACTTCTAGAAAACTAATCTAGCATTAATGAGCAAAATTGATTTAGTGGTAATGATATTGACTAAAAGTGAGACATTCAAGAGAGACAGATTGTCTCTCTTGAGACTGGCAGGATGCTCCCAGAGAGCATTCTTTCTGAGAATAAGAAATAATAAATTAATTAGCTGGGATACTACATGACAAAGTGTTTAATATTACTCACCAGTGCTAATGGACTAGAATGTCCTTCATCAACCAGAATACTATGGCCACGGTTAGTCTTTGGGCCAACTGGGGGATGGGGAGACAGGATTGGCATGTTATTTTCAACAGATCTTCTTGTGTGCTCTCCCTAGAATAAGAAAGCGCTTTAGCAAATAGATGCAGAGTTAGTAATCTAGGTTAGATTTGTGCCTGACGTGAAAGAAATACTATATGACTAAAGAAATCCAAGAGTTACTTTTGAGGCCTCTCATGGTAGTTAGGAAAAGTTTCCACAGCTTTGTTAAGGAGTTAGGTGTGGTGGTAAAAGGCAAAAAATTGAGTCTGCTTTAGTTTTACTCAAATAAATAACTGCAAAAGCAGTATATCCTCCATTTTAGCAGTAATATTTGTTAATTTGCTTTAAGCAGAACACTACAAAAAGCATAGTGAGCATAATTAGCTTTACTACTGTGATCAGTAGACTACCAAAAGTAGTACTTTTCTATCTTAGAAAATAAATAATTCCATTAGGCAAAAAGTGTCGCATGTTTTAAGAAAAGGAGAGCTAAAATACATCTTGTGCCAAATTCAGTAATAAAGTGAAAATTGCTACAAATAAAAATCATATGAAGAGGCACAAGAGTAAGACATCTCAGACAATGCTACAAAATGCCCATGTACTTCCAGCAGTGGGTTTGGCTACCTGGGCCACGGTGAATAACGCACAGCAATGTTTCCTGCTTCGTGCAAGGTGAGTGACTCTTTTTTCCAGTAACCATTTCTCTCCATCAACATTTCAGCAGATAAATTATAAGATATATGATCCAGTCCTTGATGTAGAACAATATTGGCAAAGTTGGATTAACCACAAATCTCTACACACCAACTTTTTGATCTTGAAAACTGACCCATCTTCTGCCATTTAAAAACACTTTTGTAACAAAATTATCTTCTCACCCTGATAAAATAGACCTAAGTGCATCAGGCAAGGGTGAAAAATTACTGTTTCTTATAGCAAGTTATTCTAGAGAAGCTTTACAAAACATTCATCAGTTTGTGAAACGTATCTTAGGCCACACACTTGTAGTACTACAGTATACAGAAAATTAAGAACAACATGTGATTACAAATGACTCAAGAAATTAAGTAAAACTGTCAACCTAAATGGAAATCTTGAATTTAACTGAATCTCTCATCTCCTGATTCAAGTTTATCTATTTCCTACATTCACTGCAAAGAAGATATATTTAAAAAATAGAAAACAAACAAGGACTAGTAAAATGCCTTTTACTAAATGTCTACATTTCATCATGCTTTCTTTTGCTAAAGAGAATCCTTTCTACCATATAGTTCCAAGGGTCACATTCAAATGAAAATATGCCATTGTATAATTCTTAAAAAGTCTTGTTTTCAATCAGGTTGGAAACATTACCATCCATTTTTACCTTCTTAAGACACAAACATAAATCTCTTGACCTCTATCACAAGAATTATAAAAGCAAAAGAACATTTTCAAGTTTGTCTTTGAAAGGTTTGCGCCTCATTTAATTTATTTTGCACAAACAGCTTCTATTTTTGTCACAATCTTTGGTAATGATGATGGCTAGGATTTAGGCTTGGTGGAACCATCATTGACTTCAACTATGTTTTACCCAAAAGTAAAGTGTCCCAGGGAACTCGAATCATAGTTTCACTGTTTTTTTTTTAATCATAAAATAATACAATAAAGTAAAAGAGAGTTACATAGCTCCTTACCTTAAACCTCTGAATTTGTTCCTTCCTAGCTAAAGTCTCCAATTTCTTTTTTATTTCAAGCTGATGGTAACGCTAAGCATACAGGAAAGAATGAAGGAGAGAATCATATCAGTTGTAGCAAAGACCTTTTTAGAGGAAAATAATTCCAACAGCTAACTATATTCTCAATTACCCCTCTTGTCATTGAGATGAAGAAGAATCACCTGAATCAGGGCACAAGTGGGAATATAAATTGGTGTAACTATTTGGAAATTCAGTTTTGAACATATATTAGGTAGTTAAAAGCATTCATAACCTTTAACCCTTAAATTTCACTTCTAAAACTGTGGGAAATCAAAGTAATTTTTTTAAATGCACAAAGACACTGTCTGAAAGATTTTTTTCCCCTTTTTTCTTCAAAGCAAAACAAATGCAGAAACGGTATGAAGTATAAAAAGAATGGTTATATTTTGGCACATCCATATGATGGAATAATATATGATTGATCACTTAAATAAGGTTCATACAGATTTTGTTTAAAAAATGGACAATGGACATACTGCAGGACACAGAATTTCTCAGAAATACAATTTATCAAGCTTATATTGTGTGTGTGTCTCTGTGCTAGGAAGGTGCTTCACATACATTATTTCTTCTTGATCGACTCTGATTGCCAAGCCATATCATTTTACAAAGAAAGACCCTGAGGTAGAGGATAATGAACTTGCCCCACGTCATATACCCAGCCAGTGGAGGAGCTGTAATTTCAGCCTTGGCCTATCTGACACTAACTTCCTGTATTTTGCTTGTGTTTTTTCACAAAACCATGTTGTCCCTGTCACAACATAGTATGATTTTACTAAGGTAAAAATATGAATAGAAAAGAGACTAAAAGGAAATGCATGTTAACAGTAGTTGTCTCTGAAAGGAGGAATTGTATGTAATTATTTTTCTTTTCATGCCTTTTTCCCCCAAAGTTTTTGTAATAATTATTCTATAATTTAAAAATAAGCCTCACATAAAAATAATCTGCTTACAAAGAAAACTGAAATTAATCAGATGTATTTTGGAGTGTTTTATTCATTGGGCCTTTGAAAAAATGTTTCTCCTCTGTTCTTGGTTCCCTCCTGCTGCCTTAGGAACCCTGCAGACTCAATAATTCCCTACCATCAATCCTCTTCTTAACACTTCCCTTTCCTCTCTCTTCCTCTGATCTCCTACCCACGTATCATCAAAATGTTCAATTCACTATCAGCATTTTTTCCATCTTCCATTTATTTCCAACTCACTGTAGTCATCCGCATCCGCTGACTTGCCATTCCCTACCTCATAAACTACTTTTACCAAAGCCACCAATGTTTTCATCTTCTGGGTCAAACCTAATTTCATTTTATTACCCCAGTGCTCATCTTATTTAACTATTCAGCAGCTTGTGAGAACCTTCCAGCTTCCAGGACACCATTCTAAAGACATTTTTTTGACCACTTGAAAGTTTCTTTTCAGCCCATGTTATTGTTCTTGATCTCCTGCAGTGCACATACCTCCTAACAGGTGAGAAACTCCTTCTTCTGAGATCTTTCTTCTCCCTCACTACTCCCTATTCAGTCAACTTAATTCTTTTCCCCACTTGAGCTTCTCTGTAGACAGCTGCGTCTCCCAGCAATACTGCTACTGCTGTTAGCTTGCACCCTTTGGCAATAGCTTCCTAATTGACCTCCCACCTCCAATCTTTTCCAGCTCATTAATCCATCTTCCACATTTTTAGCAACATCATCTTTCTAAAACAGCTCTGCTCATTTCTTTTACTCCCCTGCTGAAAAACATTTTATCGCCTCATCACCTACATCCCAAACTTAGTTGAAAATTTAAGGCTCTCCAGAGACTGGGTACCAACTTATTGGAGAATGTCACTTCCTGCCACTCCTGCCACCTAACCCACTGTGCAGTCTGGCCTCTATGAGGGTTCCTTTCCATCTACTACGTTCTTTCTCACCTCTGGAACTTCCTAGGTCTGGAACACCCTTCCCGCATTTTCATAGGAACTTTGACTCAGTCTTCAAAGAGCAAGACCTCTGTTCAGCTTCCTCTGACTCCCACAGAGAAAAGTCATCCTTCTCCTATTCTCTGAGTCCGGTCGATTTGGTCCTCTCTTCTAGCACTTAGTCACATTTTTAAACCTACATTGCAGCTAAAATGCACAGCCTCATGTTGGCACATGGGACAACTGCAATTATTTCTTGTTAAATGAGTGAATGCATGAATGTTAATATAGCAGTATTAGCAAGGAGCATCATCATAAACTAAATGTGAGACAAATGTGACAATTTAAAGATAATATTTTATGTTTTACAGTATTAATATATGCTATTTATTCTATTATGTAAAAATTACATTATTTAGTATATTAGTATAATATATTTAGTATATTATACTAACATTTATCTAAAATATTTATTCAAAACTTTAGGAATCTGCAAAGATTTAAATAATAGCATATTCAACACTTATGATGTGTTGCAATGTGATAAGTGAGATTTTGGAAAACTAGACTTCAAGGATTAAGACCATCAGAGAACTCAGTGCCTGTGGAGTAAATTTAAAACAAGGTATTGATTAATTTTATGCTGTCTATTTATTGTTTTCACAGAAAAATTACAGCTGATAGCTTTACAAGCAAGAATTTGTGGCCACAAATGATGATTCTGTGTAATTCGTGGACATGATATGACACAGAAAATGAACTCCTAAATTAACAGATTATACACATCTTAAGTGAATACCTCATTTACTTGATGTAGCATAATAATAAATATTTTCAGTGGCACTAGACTTAGTATTGATTCACTGCCAATTCTACAGTTGTTCATAAATGTTTACTGCACTCACAGGTCAATGGTTTTATGAGCCAAGTTTTCTGATTTACTGCTTTTGTGGTCAAGCCAAGAAGTGACACGCTTTTTCACAGAGATTGAAATGGTGGTGATGCTTGAAACTACAAGTTCCATGGAGCAAGGCTGAAATAATTTATCAAATTAGCTAGATACCTCACTAAAGTGCCCTGTCAGATTAAAAAAAATATATTGTTGATGCTTGGTTTGTGCATCTATGTTGACCAGAGTGGCCTATGGTAGGAGGGACAGCAGATGTTAAAATGCCTATTCCTTGAAATGTAACATACGGCTGAGCTTCAGAGCCTTAAAAGAATAGCAGATCTGAAATAATTCATGGCAGTGGAATTACTGATATTTAAGCAGATGTCACTTTTTTTAGCAAATGGAAATTGAGGTACAGATGGTGAGGGCTGGTATGTTTTAGAGTAGCCATTGTGAATGAAAAATCTACATTTGGAAAATTAAATATCACAAAATATATAATGATGTCCATATTTTTCTCCAACTAAAATGAAGGAAGGCTTATGCTAGTCTTCTGGCTCCTGGCTACCCAGAGAGATATTGAGAATTTCTTTGTTTCATTTTCTTTTTTAATGAAATGCAGGAAGAATATCTCTTTTTCTAGGTACAAAAACATTATTAATTATCATACTAGAAAATATCAATTATAAAGAAAACAATAAAGATTTATACCTCCGTCTTCAGTGACATGGAAGTAGAAAAAAAATACATACATAAATAAATAAATATTTGTACCTCCATATCAAGAACTTTATGAAAAATTGCCTGGGCTAAACACTCCCGAATATATTTTTGATGATCTCGCTTCATAATATTTAGTTTATATTCTTTTTCGGAAAGTATTCTTCCACTTCTTGTGATCTGTCATGAATAAATAAAACATACATAGAAATATAAAATAGAAAATGTGGTGTTAGTTTCCAAAAAAGGGAGGCTGGAGGGTGGAGAACACAGACAGGCATACACACACACACACACACACACACACACAGAGGCATTGGGGATGGGGGTGGGAGGGAAGGAGAGAGAGAAAAAAGGATAAGGGAGAGAAGGAGTGAGAGAAAGCAGCAGTAGCTTCTAAGCCTAAAGGAGTGTATCACTATGGTTGATAAACTTTCACTTTAAATGAATATTTCATAGGGCAAAAAGGAGAAAGGCAGTCTCATATACCCATCCTTGTGAAAACACACACAGGTGCTACACTTGACGTTTAAAACAAGGTTTTCATCAGAGTAAGAATTTTCCCTTGATGGAACCCAGGTGTTCTTTTCATTTCTATTTTGAACACTTTCCTGGAGGAAGGGGGTGGGGTACTACCTTGAAACAATGCCCAGGAGCAGTGATGATCGCGAAGGAAATACTTTGAAGGGCAAACATGGGAGCTACAGAGGAGCTCATCAGTTTTTTTAAAAAAATAATTGGTTTCATTACTTTGTTTTCCTACTGCTTTTTTTCTTCCACTCTCCAGCCTGGAATATAATTTAATTTGTTGTTTTGATTCAGATTTTTACAGATTACGCACTGGCATACATACAAGATATTTAATATTGGTCTCAACTAGCATCATTGCAAGTCCCAAGAGTGGTCGTTTTTGTTTCGTATTTACTTATTTTTCTTTTCTTTATTCCTTCCTGTGGGCATATTTGTTGATTTGTTGTATTGTTCTCTATCCCCTGTAAACAAATAGTGTTACCCATCTGGATTGTTCACCTTCTTCTTCTCCACTTATTTAAGCTCTGCTCTCCTCTTTCATGCAAGCCACATAGGTATTTTTTAATTCTGTTAATTGTAGTATTTTAACAATAGAGTTGCAACACACTGGAATATTGAGATCACCAGATCTCACTACAAGTGATGGGTTATTGATAATCTATTTTGTTAATACATCTTCCAGTGGAAGAAAGAGGTATACCTATGGAAAGTGTTTTTGGAATTACAAATAACCCACTTACAGTCTTTGAATGTGTTATCCATGGGATATCATGTAACTTGTGTTGAGTTGGAGGAAATGTTAAAATATCCTGACTGCCACTCCCTTGGCAATTAAGACGAGTCACTGTTATCACCCCGCTGTGACTGTGTCTGATCACCCCAACTAGAGTAGAAGCTCCTATAGGGCAAAGGTGCTTAAACTTGACCCTGCATGAAAACCATCTGCAGGGCTTGTTGAAAATTGATAGGCCCCTTACCAGAGCTTCTGAATCAGTAGGTCTGGGGCAGGGCTATCACATTTGCGTTTTCTGTCAAGTGTCCTGGTGACTATGAACACTGCTAGCAGAGAGGATATATTTGAACCTCTAGAGAAAGGGGGGCATCTTTCTTATTTGAATTGCTATGCATACAGCCAGGGTTCAACCAGTGCTTGTTAATGATGCCGATAAGTAAATACAAACTCCTTTCCATTTGTATGCAAGCTCACAGACTGTTATCCAAAGAAGTTATGTTAATAGTAACAATAATTACAATACCCATTTATTGCATATCTCTCTATCTGCCCCAACAATTCTGAGAGCTGGGTGCCATCACTCTCATTTTACAGGAAGTTGGGGCTGAAAAAGTTAAGAAAGTGATTTACTCAAGATTCAATGGCTTATGAGTACCAAGTGTGGTTTCAGCCAGGTCTGTCTGATAACAAAGCCCCAGGAGGAGAAAAGCAAGTTCTCTGAGATCAGCTGAGTGCCAAGCACAGAAACAATTAGAAATGCAATACCTGCTCTTTCAACACCATGACAACAATAGTTAAGAAAACCCATTGTGTTTTAAGATGGTAAACAACCAACATTTTCTATAGCCATACCCCTTTCTTTCCATGGAATACTATAACATTTTTAAAAGGTTTCAACATGCTCAAACCCAATGCAAAGAAACTAAGAACTTTGAAAAAAGGTTTAACAAAATGCTAACGAGAATAGACAATTTAGAGAGGAATATAAGTGAGCTAACGATCCTAAATATATATGTACCCAATAAAGGAGCACCCAGATACACAAGGCAAGTTCTTAATGACTTACAAAGAGGCTTAGATTCCCACATAATAATATTGGGAGACTTTAACACTACATTGTCAGTATTAGACAGATCGACGAGACAGAAAATTAACAAGGATATCCAGGACTTGAACTCAGACCTGAAATAAGTAAACTTAATAAACATTTACGGAACTCTCTACCCCAAATCCACAAAACATACATTTTTCTCAGTATCACATCACACCTGTTCTAAAAGTGACCACAAAATTGGAAGTAAATCACTCTTCAGCAATTGCATAGCATTTCACAGGTTTAAACTAAAAAAAAAAAAAGTTAAAATTACACTTCATATTTGGATTTAAATTTTTAAAATTATAGTAAACATTCCATATTTGTTCATTCTTTAAAAAAAAAAGGTTTCACATTATATACATTTAGAGGAATACCAATTTTGTGGAAAGCACATTTGGGAAACTAATGAAATACACCAACATTATCAATAAGCCATCACAGGAAAGAATTGTTTTTAAATTTAGGGAGAAAGGTTGAAATGTACATGACTTCCATATCATATTCTATGAATATCAAAAGCAGTATTTTTTTTCTGAAGAAGACAGTAAAATGGTCTTGATCTTCAATTCCTAACAGTTTCTAGCTCATACAATGTGTTGAATAAATATGTGTTGAATGAATGAATAAGCAGACAAATGAAATATGCTGTTGGAACCTCTCAGGGCCTTTTCCTCAATTATTTATAAGTTTTCTTAGCAGTCATTATGACCTGCCTTCCTATCTTTTCAAACAACCTCAAACACATAAATCAAAACTTTGGAAAGAAAGTAATTTTTCTAAAGTGAGAGGAAGTGGAAGATGTCACTCAAAGAGAAAGCCTGAAAAGGTAGGGAATTGTTGGACTTAATAAAACAAGAAGATGGGTGAAAAGAAACCAAAACTTACCAGTCCTGATCTTAAGAGATGCCGCCTTATCCTCGTATTGTTAAAATACCCAGCCAAGTGTTTATCTGTAAGGCTGTTATACGCTGCAAGTAACCTAAAATTTAAAAACAAAACCCATAAGGTTTTACAAGGGGTTGCTTGATAACAAAGGCAATTCTTTACTTTCTCATCCTCAAACAGTGCATAATCATTCACTCACACAGCCTGCCAATCATGCATGTATGTGTTTAATAAACATGTATTGAGTCCCTGCTGTTTTCTAGGCCTTATGATACGAACTAGGAAATCATCCTGATTTTAATTATTCCACAGATAAGTATGGAAATCGCATATCAATAAGTGGGTGGGAAAAGTACAACAACAGAAATATGCAAAAACTCATGGCAGCACAGAGGAGACTGCCAGCTCCATTTGTCAAAAAGGGCTTCACAGAGGAGGCCAGCTGGGAAAGTAAGGGCTACTTCAGCAGATTCTTCAGCCTCTCACAACATACCCTAAACTCTGGTAACTCAAACTTACCTGCTGTCTCTTGTGTTCAGAATACAATGTAGTCCCCCGACTGTGAAGGCCCTTCCTTCACCTGCCAGCCAGCAGATGATACCCGTGGTGTATAAGCATCTCTTCTCTTGGGAAATATTCTCTCATATGCCCTGGTGTGCTGTGTAGCCTTCCACTCCCCACCCCCCATCTCCCACCTCCTAAGACCCTGAGTTACTATCTCATTACATAATATGTAATTCTTTATTTATTGATCTCCTCTGCTAGATTTGCAGGCCAGGATAGAGCATTATTCTTGGTATCCCTACTGATGTTATTTGTCATGTATCAAAATAATAATGTGCTCAGTAAATAAAGATACAATTTTGTTTGGAGCTTATTTTTATCATTATAAATTCCTAACTAAATTTAAGCTCTTGAAGTGTTAACTTTCGGGGAGAGAGAGAGAGAGAGAGAGAGAGAGAGAGAGAGAGAGAGAGAGAGAGAGAGAGACAGAGAGAGAGATTTGCATTAATTTCACATCTAGCACCAAACCAATAATGCATAGATCACTTTTGATTTTTAGAGTCTTTTAAGAGTTAAAGAGGATAAACTGGTTTCTTGATTGTATGCTAAACCTTAGTACGTCAATCTAAGTATATATGTCAAAGTTGAGCACTATTTTCTGTTTTAACCTATCTTTCATTAATTATTTAGTACCTTAGAGAAACAGGCACACACATATGTATGTATACATCGTGCATGTACATACACATTCATACACAGACATAGGCATAGATGTTAGTATATACAGTAGTCCTCCCTTATCCACAGGGAATACAATCCAAGACCCCCAGAGGATGCCTGAAACCATAGATAGTACTCAACCCTATGTATACCAGGCTTTTTCGATCTGATATCCAGCACAGCTCTAAGTGACTAAAGGGTGGGTGGCAAATACTGCACGGATACCCAGGAAAACGGGACATTTCACATCCTGGGCAGGACAGAGCAGGACAGCATAGGATCTGATAACACTACTCAGAATAGCATGCAATTTAAAACTTATAAATTGTTTATTTCTGGAATTTTTCCATTTAATATTTTTGGACTGTGGCTGAACCATGGGCAATTAAAACCACAGAAAGTGAAATCATGGATAAATGGGGACTACTGTATGTGTGTATATAGAGAGAGAAAGAGAGAGGGGGAGACAGACAGAGATAGACAGAAGCAGTCAGGGAGAGGCAGAGAAAGGAAAAGAACAAGAAAGCCTTAAGATAGCCCAAATGCAAATCTGTCTTTTAAAAAATGCATACCCTATTACCTGTAACAAAGTTTTATAATCTATGCAATTTATTAGCAGCTAGTTCTTAATTTATTCTAAGACCAGAGCAGGGACTCATATTATAGAGTCAAGTAAGTATCATTAACAACAATTTTTTTAGTTGTTTGCACTCCTTAATTACATGGAGATGATTTGGGTGACTTCTTCATGCCTTTTTGCTCCTTAACAGCCCGTCGCAGGAAAGTTCCATGCTGCCCAAACAGTAAGAAAAGTTTAATTTCATCCACAAAAGAGACTGAAAAGCAGTTACAAAGCTTAGAAACCAAGGTGCCACATGAGAGTTGCAGACACATGAACAACTGCAAAAGCCATTATTTCACCAGGTTTATGTAAAAAGACAACCCAAGAGCTTCAGTAAGGCACATCGAAACCAGCTCCGGATAATGCTTTGAAACCATCTTTAAATGAACTGTCTTGGTGTCCTATAGTTCATCAAAGGTTTCCTGTCTCCAAAAGGTCAACATTGTATACCTTACCCTTTCTAAATCTCAGAATATCTCAGCTCCTCATTTCAGAAAGGTGAGCAGGTGTCTCTCAGTCCTAACAATCATGATTCCACAGTTCACAGATTCTTAAGATAAATCATTAGAGTGATATCATATATAGTCTTTTGTCTGTTACTCAGGCTCAAGTTTTTTCTTAAAAAGTCAATAGTTTTGGAATGACTGGGAGTGTTTAAACCCTGATTAAATGAAGTGGGGTCAAAAAGTTGGGATCACATAAACCTCAACTTCCCTATTGACTGATAAAATATCCCCTTCCTTAATTCAGGCTCTGTAACTTCTTTGCTATTGAGATCCTAATAATTGCTTAGCCAGCTTTGGTAGGACCTAATTTTAACTCTACTCTCTTGGGCTTCTACTAACAAATGTGTGCATAATGCCTGCCCAAGCTTACAAAAGGTCGAGCAGTCCAGTTGGGTTGAAAGGTCTTTACACATCAGTTTTCTCACTTTTTTCTATTTAGGCATGAATGTGGGCACCTGCTTGGGATGCCATTTGTAAAGCAACTCTTTCCACAACTATGATCATATGACTAGCATTGGTAGGACAGCTGAATAATAACCAGCAGAGTCCACCCAGGCTCAGGTATTTCTTTTTTAGACAATGCTGAAATTGTTTTAACAGAAACTGTAGATTAATGAATTGTTTGATATCAAGAAATTACACTAAAATAAATTACATACAGATTTGGTAAAATGGTCAATGCAAGCATTTCCGCTGTATACATATACATATACATATACATATACATATACATATACATATACATATACATATACATATACATATACATATACATCACCATATTTCTGACCGTCGAGACTCCTTTCTGGGGAGATGGTCAAACACTGTGTGGGCCGGTATCAGCCACACTGTGGTCTGGCTCATCCTCTCTGCTCCAGTCCTCTTCACAGGTGCTTGATATGGACTTGTAGCCCATTTTGCATTTACCCAATTACAAGCGCTTCACTGACCAACACAAACTCGGTTAGTAGAGCTTTTCTGAAAGTCCACCCTTTCCTCTGCATTCACTGCCACTTACTCCCTTCACTTTTCTCTTTTTTTTTTTTTTCTGGCTCATGGCATAACCCTGGGCTGAATAAGGTCACCTTGCTCTGGGCTTGGTGTTTGCATTGCACCTGTACATTCCTTTGCATGTTACGCTCTGCATCCAGTGTCAACACTAGACTTCCCGGTCATGCTGCCTCCAGCCTGTGATCCTTCACTGTACCCTGTTCTTCCACTCCATTGGTCACAGCAAGCACCAGGTTATTGTGACTATGTTACTCACAGGCCATGTTGTCATGCCAAGACCCACAGCTTACTGGTCTGACCAGTCTATCATGCTTGTTTTTTTATGTGATGATGGACAAGACTATCTAACCCATCCCCTGGTCAGTAGGTGGGGAAAAACCCACTTCCTGGCTCAATGCACTGGGGAAACAGTCTCCCAGGAAACAAAGCAACCTTATCTCCATGCTGGTTCCTGTTTCCCTCATTTCAATGTGCACCCCACATCTTTCAGGGCTTGAAGTTCAGAAGAGCCACAGCTGAGTCACTGGGAGTGCTACCTTCCCAAGCTGCAGCCTTTCAGCACTTAACCCTCAAACCCTTGCCTCCTACCATGTAATATATAAATGTGGCTCTGTAATAAAGTCAGTGATTCCTAACAATCCCTTCTCCTGGTCCCAAAGAGAGATAGTCTACCCTATAAAAATCCCAACTCAAAGGAAAGGCATTATAACAGGTTTTTTTAAATCACAAATGCTTATTGTTTAATGACTAATTTTAGGTTGTTCCATAAGGCACTGGAGGCACTGGGGACACAGAGATGGCACAGATACTGCACTCATGGAGTTCCCAATCTAGTGTGGAGATACACAGATACGTGTGTGTGTGTGTGTGTGTGTGTGTGTGTGTGTGTGTGACTGAGAGAGAGAGAGAGAGAGAGAGAGAGGAGAGATTTCTTCCTATATCATAAGCTAATTCATTACCAAGTATCTCCATGTCAGGTACTGAATCCTGATCTGGGGAAGGAGTATAATATCCATATTCCATTCTGCAGATTACAAAGCACTCTCACATACATAGTTTCATCTGGTTTCTTTTAGAGCCGTGTAATATGAACAGTCTCTAACTATTACAGCTCTTTTATCTTACTAAAGTGGAAAAGCTCCAAAACAAGATTACTATTTAATGTGAGTCAGTTTTAGGAAAACCTAAGGCAGTATTTCTTTATGGATCACATTGATAAAGTCATTTCTTCTGGCCTGAAGCACCCTGGAACTCCACCCTCATCTCTACCTATACTGCCCATCCCCACACTGTCTACATTACCCTTTGAGATGAAAAGAGTTAGAGAAATTACAACTCTAGCTTTAGTTCAATTCTGGCTCCACCATTACGGGCTCCATAACTGGGAAAAAGTGACCCTCTGCCTCAATTTTTCTACCTTTCTAAAACACTAGTATATGAACACAGTTCAGCCAATTCTTTGTCAATTTATTGTAAGATTGCTTTTTCTCTAATATCAAAAAACATGTTCCTCATTTCCATTTGAAACCTCATTCAAATGACCTTTACCATACGTATTTTCACCAACATTCTGTTTATTATTATGTATTCTCTAAGAAGATGAAAGTTTTCTCTCTCTTGTTTCTGAGTCCTCACCAGAATCACCTTTAAAAATTGCCTCATGGAAATCTAGGCTTTTTCTTGCATGAACCTCAGAATTCTTCCAGCCTCCACCCATTACTTCCACAAAGC